GAGAGAGAGAGAGAGAGAGAGAGAGAATTTATTAACATAATAATAATCCAGTATAAAAATATATATTGTTTTGTCCTTTTGGTTTATACTGTTTCCAGTATAGACCTGCTCACTCTGACCTAAAGTCAGGTCTCTGGAGGGGCGCGCTGTGCTCCTTCTTCATGTTCTTCTGACATATATGACTCCACGCCTTTTTTTATAAACTGTGATATTATATTTTACAGACCATGAATCAGCTAAGTGTAAGAAGTTATGTATTTTATTTAATATCACTGGTAAAGCCATATTTGGTCAGATTAAGGCCTCACATGTGATGTGGTCAGTATTAATATTTCAAACTCGATTTCCAAATAGACTCGATTCTCAATACTGATTCTGATACCATGATGATAAAAAAACACCCTGACAACAGAATGTGATATTCAACATTAAGTGGTAGAAGTTTCTTTTCTATTCCCATGTGTGTTATATGTGTGCAATGGTCAGTGGTGCAGTAGGTTCATGTTGGTCCATATGTGTATACTAGTCTATGTGCTCTTGTACTTGTTCTGATACAGATCAACATCATTTTAAAGACATTCAGTGCTGGGAATGTGACTTTATAGTACTGATACTTTCTCAAATGAGTATCTGGTGTTGATACTAGCTTTAGTATGGATTTGTTTTTCAGTGTTTTTTTTTTTTTTCAATACTTTTGATGGCCCTACTCAGATGTTATCATACAAAGTGATCACTGATATCATCTTGGTGTCATAAGTCCAGTCTTGCATTTTCATCTATTTCCTGTGTGCTGGTTGTGAATGGCCAGACTTACATTAGTACAGACGGTGGTTAGTGGAGGATGTGGGCCTCTGTCTCATAATGATGATACAACATCCTTCCCCCAATAACAAGCCTGTCTCATCGGAACAGAAAAACCTTGGACATTCCCTTCTAATTCTGTTACAAATAAAGTGAAATGCATTGCTAAATATGACATAATATTTGTAGCAATAACATAATCTCCAGGTTTGCCAATTTCAATAGAAAGAGCACCTTTAGTCAAACTGAAACTGTCCTCCTCACAGCTGTGGTGTGTGGCGTGACGTGTGGTGTTTGGGTAAGTAAATGGCCAGTGAACTCATATCAGCGTGATACTTATCTACTAATGTCGGCTATTTTAGAATTGACAAATAGTTACATTTTAAGAAGACATATTTCACTATAACCAGTAGCGCTCTACCTGATTTTTATTGTGAAAAACTAGTTTGTTTTAAAGGGTTTGCAGTGGTCCAAAGTTCCACACTGCATTCAGAGCATTCTAATTATTCACCATGATGCTTTTAGTAGTATAAGCACTTTTCACAACTCTGAGACCAGAACAGAGTTTATCATTACAGTAATCTAAGAAAATAGAAAAGCTATAAAAACTTGTTTGTACCCAAGTCCACACAATGTCTTAACAAGATGGAGTGACTGTGCAGATGTGTGGAGCCTGAGTGATTGTGTATTGTCCAGTTCTACATGTGTTTCTTTTGCCATGTCATGTGACATGCTGACCTCTGACCAAGCTCACAACACACTCAGATATGTGTCACTCCACAGTGACTGTTTGAATCTGATTTGTCAAAGGGTCACAAAACAGCAGAACAAGACAAAAAGTTCTTCCCTTCTGTATGTTTATCATAAACAAAAAAGTCGTATTGTCGCTAAAACAGCCTGATGCACATTTTGTGGGTGTGGCCATGTTTGTTTCGGTTTGTTTGGGCACTTTATCTTTGGCTTCTGCATGAACCTCAGTGCTGCGATGTGATTGGTCGCCTGCTGGACCATACAGAGGATGCATGCCAAGATGGATTCTTGTGAGTTTGTGAACTCACAAATGTCCTGAGAAGCCATTTGCTGTGCAGGGTTAACCGACCTCTGCTCTGAACCAGATATCTCCATGAGGAAACGAAAGAAACAAAACCTGAAGTTATTCTACTACAGATGTTTTTATGGCTCAAAAACCCCTTGAGAAATGTGCATATTTACTTTATTTCCATGATAGGTTTAATACTAGAGTGTGGAACATTCTAGGCAAAGCCATTGCATCTCGATGGACACAAGTAGCCTCTACTCTTCTCTTATTCAGTTCATTTATGATGAGTATTTATGTTTAATTTGTTTGTATTGTGATTGTAATGTATCTTATTCTGTAAAGCACTTTGAGTTGCTTTATGCACCAACAGTCTCTCTGAACGCTTACGTCACACACCAGGAAAATGTTTGGAAATTTGTGATGACAACTTCCTTTGGGCTCTGTTCACAATAGGACGTCTGACAAAATCTAGGAAAAATTAGAAAATGCCCCAGTTTTTTTCATCTCCACGTCAACAATTAATAATTACAGCCATACTTCAATTTCCATCATTTCCCCACTGACACACAACAAGTGCACTGGTACATGTGATTAGAAGAGATGAGGGGTTAAATTCCAGATGATTTCAAACAGCACATACATCTGCAGGCTTAATTTTACCACTGATCACATTTACTTCAGTGGGTTTGATCAGAGTGGGTCGAGCCCAGTGTTGGGAACTCCACTGGTAGCTGTCATTGCATGTTTCCAAATGTCTTCCTGGTTTTGTGCCACAAGGAACTTCTGTTATAACAGGATTAAAGGTGCATCAGAGTGTGTGAAGTAAGGTTTAATTCCGGGACCCCGGATTCCTTTGAAATCTGTTCAAAACTATGTCTTGATTCCTGGGAAATAGCCAAATAAAAATGATAAATGGTGCACGTCTATTTGTTGTTTTACAATAATGTTGATTTGGGATTCTAACTGGTACTTATGCTGAGTCTGACGACAACTACGCAGAAGAAGAAGGGGCACTCCATTTATCTCCGGAGGTCACAGAGTTGTGACACCGATGATGAAGAATTCAACTGATTTAGGTAAAGTTGTTCTGTTTTGTTGTTTATGCCATAGTTATCTGAATAACTTCATATTTTGCGTTAACAGCCTGTTCTCTGTTCTATCATTACTTTCAAGATTAAATGTTTGTTCTTGGTCTCTGATTTTATCAAATTAATTTCCCCTAAATAGTGACTTATAGTCCAAAAAATACTGTACATAAGGTCTAATTGGGATCCAAAAAGTGAACAAAAACAATCGCTGTTATTGATTCCCTGGAAATAAGTGGCCTTGTCCCGGGATTTGAGTCATGTTATTTTCAGGAAGAATATTAAAAGCTATTTCTCTGCGATATCTGTTATGGCAGCATATTTTTTATGCAGCCATAACAAATATGGTATAATTACCTAAGTGATGGATCTGTGGTAATATAAATATTGTCTGAGTTATTTGAGGAAGTGGGCGAGGTGGACACAACAGGTGGAAACTGTGTGCTGCTCTTGTGTCTAATCAGCTGCACTATTTGTGCAAGACCTGGTCAGAAAGACACATTGTGGTCAACAGAGAGGGACAGCAGGGGCCCAAGAGTCACCAAAGGCCTCAAGAGTCACTAGGAGACAATGACACATTGTCCTCCATTACAAAGCATCATTTTTTTTAAGCTCTCAAAATCATGTACTATTGGATGCAAACTATTGGATTGCAAACTATTGGATGTGAGGCTGTCAAACTTCACCATCAACCCCACCATCAGACCACCACCAACAAACACACTACATCCATACTAGGTTATGTGGGTGGCGTGTCTTGCCTGAGGACACAACAAGAGAGTTGTGACTGGCGCCCCCCTGTGGCTCCTGGTTTCCCCAACAGACTCCCATCCAAGTACTGACCAGGCCAGGCCCTGAGAGATCAGGCTTTCACAGAAGGAGTGTTGGCCTCCTCATGACGTCTCCTGCTCCAGCAGAAGGTACATACATAGACCTGTAGAAGTTTGTCCGGGCAGTTGGACATTATACATGGCACTGTACATATTTGTCATAACATGGTAGTCCGCCTAACGCACAGAGGCCAACAGTCACTGAGTGCACTGTACACGTGTGTAGATGAGGCCAGTGCGCCCCCGTGTGTTCAGAAGCAGAACAGCCTCTCCTCTGGATCAAAGTCAGAGAAGTGATGGGCGTGGTCCTGTAGACACGGCTGGCCTGTCATTCAAACGGCTCCACCTCGCGCACATGACGCACACAGGGCGCACGACACGCCTGTTATCGGCCCCATGTGGGGCGCGCACGCCCTTTTTGGACCGCGGCTCTATAATTGAACCGTGCACTGTCACCCCATATTCCACGGAGCAGCACAAAGCCGTGATTATTCCGGAGCATGAGCAGGCTGGGGGAGAGGGGAGTTTCCATGAAGCCGCTGGACGGTCACAAACAGCGGCACTCTGATCCAAATGGCTGGGTCATCTTGGATCTTCTCTCACCTTTTAAGATGTAGAAATGTACTTGCAATATCTTTTACATGTATGTCTGTTTTTAAAGGGAGAAGGCATCTTCTATTGCTATGAAAAGTACTTTCACTGAACCTGTGTCTCCAGAGCCTTAACCTGCAGACAGACACATCAAAGTTTGTCTCATTCCCAGTTTATGGGCAGGCCATGCCACTGAGCTGCAGAGGCTGCACTAGCACTGGTTCATGATTGGCTCAGGTGCTGGTTTAGATAGTGACCATTCAGATCAGAGAGTCCTTTTAGGGTTGTAACTGACATTCCAAATGAGACTCATTCTTCTTTCTGATTGGATAATTCTTGAGAACCAAAACACCAAATGATTTCAAACTCTGCCACCATGTCTGTTGATTTGTCATTAAGAATAAATCAATCCACTCTCAGTGCATTTAGCTGTCACTCTTTCCACACATTCATTACACACGCTCCGAAGATAAGATGAGTCTTGCCCAAGGACACAGAGACAGTCTAGTAAAAACTATCCCCACAAATAGATGCAATATAATTCACATTTTAGCCAAATTAAAACACATTTCTTTCCTCTCAAAACTGTTTCTCACAGTATTCTACTATAAAAGCATTACATATTTTGCTTATATAAATGATGACAAAGATAGATCTTTTAAAATATATTTTATTTTTAAAAAACAAACAGTACAAATCAATCCAATACAAATGCATACAGGAGCATCCGCATTGTCATCAGGTTCCATTAGTCACTTCAGAGTTCAGTTTAAACTCACTACAGAAGAGTCAGGAAACATTAAGTGTATTAAACTGAGGGCAGGGTACAATGGAGCTCATTGCAATAAATATATAAGAGGAAGTAGAAAGACCTTAAAAACATAACAAGAGGACACGTCTCTGAATGTCTCTCACAATGTCAGAAAATACTTCATGGATAAGAGCAGAAATCTCCCAAAAGTTTGTATAAAACAGAACAATCGCAGGCTTCATTCACCCAGACAGATGTAAGGTCCCTCTGTTACCCGAGCAACAACTACAACATCAAACTACAATATACTGTTTATCAGAACCTCATTAAGCTCTGTGTCACTGATGGCCCCTTCACACAGTCACACACTAACACAGAACTAACCAACTAACTACTCAAACTCTCAAATACTGTGAGGAAGTTTAGACTGAAATAACATGCATCCTCTTTCAGGCTCCATTTCAATACCAAGAAACAGACTCAATACTCAATATCGATTCTGGTACCACAATGATACTAAAAAATGCTCTTTCTTTAGACAATAGAATGTGATTTTCAACATTAAATCATAGTACTTTCTTTTATATGCCCATGTGGACTTATATCTGTGTAATACCTCAGTCAAGTGGCCATATACTCGTCTACATGCTCTGTTCAAGATTATTCTAAAGCTATTCAGGAAAAGGAAAGGTTCTGTCCTGCAAATGAGTTTTTTAGTATCGATAGCTGTGAAAAATGTTTATCTAGTTTTAATTATAGTTTTAGTGTTGATTAGTATCTGATTTTCAATACTTTTGACAACCCGACTGGTTACCAGTCCAAATTTACTATGCTCTAGTCTCCTCTGCAGACATTTGAATTACCTCATGGAGAAATGTCAAAATTCTAACATTGTACTTGCTGTTGGTGACATTATGAGACTGTGTGAAGGGGCAGAGGACTGAGTGAGGAGAGGTGCTCTGGACCAGAGCAGACAGTCCACAGTCTACAGGGGACACTGGGTCTATGTACATGCTAACACTGTAGGCCTAGTAGTCCATGCCCTGGCTGTGGTAGTTGTAGTTATCATGGTAGCCCTGGTGGTACTCCTCCCCCTGGTACTCCCCCTGGTACTCTCTGTGGTACTCGCCCTGGTACTCTCCGTGGTAGGGGCCCTGATAGTCGTGCTGGTAGTCGCTGTCGCTGATGTCGGAGCCGTGGGGCCCCTGGGAGCCGTTGCTGTGTATGACGGGCTCTGTGGGCGGGGCGCAGTACTTGGGGTCGTACACTTGGCGTCCCAGGCCGTACACGCTCATGCCACGCTGCGACGCCACTTTGTTTGTGCCCATCTGGAGGGAGATGGTGGAGTTATCCAGGGGCTGCAGTGCCACCTTCTGGTCAAAGATGTCTCTACGAGTGCCAGGGGCAGACATGCCAGCCTGTAGAGGAAACAGACCAGTATTATATATTATTCATTATTAATTGGCCCGAGCCAGTAACGAAGTAACTGGCGAGGGCTACTGTTCTTCGCCGGTTTCTTACGCTCTTTTATTATTATTATTTATTATAATTTTTCCTTGCAAACGATCGCAATTTTGAGGGCCTAAATGAAATGAATGGGAGTCTGAGAGGCAAATTTTTTCGTACGGTCACGAAATTCGGAACAGTGATAGAACTCAAGGAGACAAGCAAAAAAGCCAATCATTGTGCACCCCTATGATGAACAGGAAGTCGGCCATATTGAATCAAACATTCGGCGCCGTTTTGACTTGGGGGTCTACAAAAAGATTCAAGTCCCCGGGGTTTTGTCCAAATGAGCTCAGCTTTGACATGTCACATCTAGAGACATAAACTCACAAAATGCATCAGAAAGAATTTTGATACTTCTTACGGTTCGCCCGTAGCACGCCGGCGAATAACGCCTTCATTTCCTGTTTTTTCAGTGACCTGTCACGGCCACAGGCATTGTCCTACAGAGCTCTAATTCAAATCACAATTGTGTGATCCAGGCCTGAATGTGATGAAATATGAAATCTAATAAAAGTGAACTCTATAGCGCCCCCTAGCATAGACATGAAGCGTGGACATTATCGGATTTGTACCAAATTCGGGAATTAACTTCTGTGCATGATTATAAGACAAAAAGTGCATTACAGACATGATGCATTTTCCACATTTGGCCAGCAGGGGCGCAAAGACTCCCCCAAAAAATAGTTTAAAAATAATTACATCCACAGGGTTAGTCCGATCGTGCTGACATTTGAATCAATAATGCCTGATCCCAGCCTGAATATAATACACTATAAAACAAATGAAAAGTTAACTCTATAGTGCCCCCTAGCATACACATGAAATGTCAACATTATTGGAAATGGACCAAATTCCGGGATTAAATTCTACACATGAATACAAGCAAAAAAGTCCATTACGGACATGGGGCATTTCTCACTGTTGGCCATCAGGGGCGCAAAAACTCCCCCCAAAAAATACAAATGATTACACCCACAGGGTTAGTCCGATCGTGCTGAAATTTGATTCACTAATGCCTGATCCCGGCCTGAATATGATACACTATAAAGTTTATGAAAAGTGAACTCCATAGCGCCCCCTAGCATATACACAACATGTCAACATTATTGGATTTGTACCAAATTCAGGGAATAAATTCTATGCATGATTATGAGCAAAAATATATATAACGGACATGGTGCATTCTCCACTGTTGGCCAGCAGGGGCGCAATGACTCCTAAAAATATTTAAAGGTGCATTATGTAACCTGTCTAATGGTCGAGCTGTCGACCTGGGTGGATGTCGGGAAGAGAGGGTGACGTGCCGGGCCGGTCGCGAGTCCCCGGCGGTCGCCTGGGGAGCGACTGCACACCGGGGCGAGGGCCACCTTCGCCGCGCGCGGCTTTAATTATTCTTATTACTCTGTGATACATTTCTACATACACAGTACATTATACTTCTACATACTACTTATAGTGTCAGGATTTCTTATTTCTTATTTTATTTATTTGTAAAGGGATAGTACATATTAATGAACATTAAAAATTTAAATATGCAAAGATTATAGCCAACGTGGCAAATTTCCATCTTCAGTCCCTCGGCAGGTTGATATAAAATCATCTATAGGACAAGGAAAAGTACAGCAACAATCACACAAAAGTACACAACACCAGCACACTCACTGTACACACAATTAGTTTCAAAACAGTTCATTTGAAGTTCAAAGTCAGAAGTTTAAGAATTAAGTCAAGAGTTAAACCAACAACCCCTCAAAATAAAAGAAAATATAAATTGGTTAAACATGGAGACATATTTGACCATTGAATAACCACTGTTTTAAAGCTTTAGAAAATACTGCCAATGTTGAAAGTTCTTGTATATGAGCAGGCACTGTATTTCATGTTTGAGCTGCTCAATAAGCAAAAGAGAGTTGTCCAAAGGTACTTTTCCTAAACGGCACAGAGCAGTCGCCTCTAGAGCTGCTCTTGTTGTGCGATTTGAATTTCTTTTCACAATCTCCTTTAGAGGAGGTGGAGCAAGATGATTAAAAACTTTGTAAACCAGAATTAAATCTGCATATTTGATTGTGTTAACCCAATTTAGGAATTTGTATTTGTCAAGTATTCTACAACAGTGATAATTTGTGGGCTTTTTGTCTAATACTTTAAGTGATTTTTTTATATATAGTTTCAGCTAATTTAAGAGTAGTTTTGTTTGTCAGAGTCCAAGTAGTAATGCAATAATTTAGGTGTGGCAAAATCATTGAATTTAAATACATAAATGCCGAGTTGGTCGTTAGATTTTTTTCTTATATGACGAAAATTTGATAAATGATATTTGATTTTATTCACTGTTCTTTTGATTTCACAATATTTACAGATTTCTTTCCATATATTTGAGAAAAATGTGTCTTGCCCCAGGACAGATAAAGGCTACAATGCAGTGGCCTTTATCTGTCCTGTAGCAGCTCTTGAGGTCAAAACAAATCAGCTGTGTACTGTCTGAAGTAGCACTTTACATTTGGGTTTACTTTTTGGGGCCTCGACTGAAGTTATTGCATCAGCAGTAGAGCACAAGCCATCTAATTTAGACTTTATATGACAGGACAATGTACAGAGCCATCTCCAAAGACATGTCCAGAGAGTAGAGATGTTCTGTAGGCTGGTCCATCAAAGCATGGAAAAAATTAAGTATTAGATAACCTCAATTAGAACCCTGCATTTGGTTTTAGCATCCAAAAGATGATTTAGGAAGAAATTTGGAAGAAAAGGGAGATGTTTTAAGGGCTGCTCAAGCTGCATGAAGTTTCTGCATGAAGTTTTGAAGCTCCTCCAAATGATTTGGTTTTCCTTAAGAAGCTGTCACAGTCTGAACACTGTTGTGAAGAAAACACCTCAACAGCTTTCAGCTAACATCTTTTGTACTTGAGTGAAGAAATGTTTTGTTCCTGGCATTCTTCCACTCCAGTGTGACAGAAGAACAGAAGAAGCTGATGCTTCACAAAGCGATGTGACGCCCTTAATCAAGCAAATTATGAAGGGAAGCAGATCAGAGATTTTGTCTCCATCTGCACCATGCATTTCTTCAAAGCTCTTGATCTGCCAAAAACATTTTGAACAGTTCCCTGCAGCAGACTGGGCTGATGATGACACTTTCAGAAGGTGCTGAAACTGTTCATTCTAGGAAAGTGTCAATAATGTTTCTGAAAGGAGGTGAAGATTATTCTAGGTTTTAAATGTAGCTGAACAAAGAATGAAGGTCAGAAAATGGATCTACTGCAGGAGTCAAAGACACAGGCACATCTTTAGTGATGCCAACAAAGCCACAGTGGAGCTGGACTTCACTTTTTATGGACTTTATGAACTTTCGAAGTCACTTTTATGCAAGTTTCAAATGATTCAAATAGGCCTTATTTATTTGGTTCAATGTTTATAGTAAAGTGCCTATAGGGCAGTGCTTCTCAAATAGTGGGGCGCCCCTGGGGGGGCGCGAGGCTCCGTCAAGGGGGGCGCGTTTGACCTCGGGGAGCATGCTTTTTGATTTTTTTATTTTGATTTTTTTTTACTGTCTTAAGGGCCGTTCACACCAAAGCGTCAAAAAACGCCTTGACGCCTCTATTTGGACGCCTTTGCATTTGAGTTTAGACGCCCCCGACGCGCATCTTTGACGCTGTGGACGAACAGGACAAAAATACTTGACGCGCGTCCGTTGCCCTGGAAACAAGAGCCCGGTCCCGGTCTTTTCCCGAAACAATGTCAGACCAGACTGAGAGAGTGTTTTTATGACATAAAACATCAAAGGAGGAGATCGGGTCGACGACTGGGGCGTATATATATTTCTACTCCGCTAATGACACTGGATCAGTCCCGGTCTAGTCCTGGTCTAATACCGGTGTGGTCCTGGTCTAATCACGGTCTAGTTCCGGTCTAGTCCTGGTCTAATCACGGTCTAGTCCCGGTCTGGTCCCGGTCTAGTCCCGGTCTAGTCCTGGTCTAATCACGGTCTAGTCCCGGTCTAGTCCTTGTTTAGTCTCGGTCTAGTCTCAGTCTAGTCTCGGTCTAGTCTCGGTCTAGTCTCGGTCTAGTCCTGGTTTGGTCTTGGTCCGGTCCTGGTGTATTCCTCGCGATCGGCTCGGTGATTGTGGCGTATATATTTATTCTCCGTTCATGTTTGTGGTTCTCGTTCTGGTTCTCGGGTCGTTCTTCCTGATAATAACGTCGCTGCGTCTCTGGATACTCGTCCCTGATTGGTTGACGCGGCGCGTCTGACGCGAAAAGTTCAGCATTTTCAACTTCTTGACGCTGACGCCTTGGACGCGCGTCTTGGCCGCTGACGCCAAAACGCTGAAGACGCGCTGCGCTGACGCCAGATTCGCGCCGCGCTGACGCCGAAAACGCGCCGCAATAACGCAGGACGCTCTAGTCGCGCGTCCACATAGACTTTACATAGAAAGTGCAGCCGACAGCAGCCGACAGCATGAAGCCCAATAAATTAAGGCGTCACTTAAATACATTACACCCCAATCACTCTGATAAGCCGCTTGAGATTTTTCAGCGAAAACGTGCCGAATATTGCCGACAATCATCCCGCTTTGTGACTGCTACTTCAGTAAACCAGCGAGCGTTGTTGGCGTCATATAAGGTGGCAGTGTTACGCACAGGTGTACTTATAACAATTTTATAGACAAATGATACTATCTATAGTCACGCGGGGGGGCGCGAGATGTTTTATTCGTCCTAGGGGGGGCATGACAGAAAATAATTGAGAAGCACTGCTATAGGGCAATTTTCAAGTGTCTTGAGGAACCTCTAAATATTCATTCAGTTGCATAAAATTTGGACCCAAATATTTTGGCCAGATATGGAACCAAATGCAGGGTTCTAATCTAGAGAATCTAAAAAAAAACAAAAACATTTTTGGACCACCCTAATGTCCAGACTACAGGAGGTACTTCACACAGAGTAGTGACGAGGCTCAGGAGAAATGGAATCCATTTGGTTTTAGTGCTCAGAACACAGAATTAAAGTGCATTTGGCAGCTTCATATATCTGACTAATTCTCACCTGGTTTGGTGGGAAAGTAACTGTGTTAAAGATTTACCATAGTATTTACATGAGTTAAGAAGCAGTGAGTTCTAACTGACATCCCTCCACCTACATCATCAACTGTTATCAAGTCCATCCAAAACAAACAACTAAATAAATGTGTTGTCAATTTTTTTACTGGTATAATCATAACTGTGTATCTCCTTCCTGTGTAGGAAGTAATATCAAAAAACAGACCTGGAGTTGTGTTTCCTTCACACATGTTTGACACACAAACCCTTCTCTCAAACAAAAAAAAACAAAAACACTCTGTTCGACCTTGTGATATCATGTGAAAGTGTTCCATTGTGTGTGTTGACACTGTAATCATTTGGATGATTTCAGGCCTGGAATTGAGAATTTCCAACTAAACTAAAGGTAAAAGGAGCTGTTCACTTGAAAAATACAAATACATGACACCACAAGGTGGAATAGAGCATTTTGAGCTTTGGAGGTGTAGACAGACTGATAATAAACATGTGTGAATGAAACAAAACAACTCCAGGTCTGTTTTTGATGGCCTAACATCATTCTAGCATGTATTAATGCTAATTTATCATTAAGACCTTTAAATGTAATGATGAGAAGCATGTTGTAGTGAAATGGGTAGTCATACACACGCACACACACGCACGCACACACGCACACACACACACGCACACACACGCACGCACACACACGCACACACACGCACACACACACACACACACACACACACACAGTACCTGGCTGGCTCCCTTGTTGGTGCCCATCTGCAGGCTGATGGTGGTCTGGTCGTAGGGTTTGTCAGTCTGGGTCTTGGGGTCGTACAGGTGCCTTCTGGTCCCGTAGGCGGTCATCCCGGCCTGGCTTGCACACTTGTTAGTCCCCATCTGAACAGCACAGGGTCAGAGTGATCACCATGACAACAGGCTCTCACAACATACATCTCCTCAGAAGATTCAACCACCAACCCATCCATGAGTCCACAACACGTTTACATGCACGCCAAAAATCTGAGAGGAAGAGTGAGGGGGTAGGGTGTGGGAGTCTAAAGAACAGTGTGATTGGTCTAGAACGGGGGTCTCCAACCTGTAGCTCGGGAGCTACCAGTAGCTCTCCACCCCCTTCCAAGTAGCTCGCCAAGGAATTTCTGAATTCTGTGTATTGTGGATAATAAGTAAAATTTGATTTATTTACCATTGTAAATGTATCATTTTGATGCCTAACTTGGTGCACCGATAAATGGATAATGGTTTATGTTTTATAAGCATCTAACTGTTCCCCATCTAAGGGCGTGGCTCTTATATTTACTCAGTTTCTTTGTGACTGCTGAAATTGGTAGCTCTCTGGCATTTTGTTTCGTAAAGGTAGCTCTCAGGAGAAAAAAGTTGGAGACCCCAGGTCTAAAAGGTATTGACACTTCAAGCTCCACCCCTGGAGCTAATGACTGGGTAATCTGACTTTGCTGATGATCAGATTTTCCTGCCCATGTAACATTATCATGTAACAGTGCAGTGAGTGCGTTACCTGCAGTCCGATCACACACTGTCCTGCCTTGATCTTGCCCTCGTCAAAGTGCCTCTGGGCTTTGTCTGCGTACTTCACTCCAATGTCCACTTTAGTGTCCAACCCTTTAGTCTTGGCCTGCGGGGGACACACAGAGCTAAGTACAGGTGATGATAACAGGGGGCGCTGTTGTCCTCCTCATACTCACCATACTGGCCAGAGCCAGCAGAGAGGTCTGGACCTGAGTCATGTTGCCGTTCTCAAACAGGTCGTTGGCCTCAAAGATGTCGGTGGGCTTGAGGCCATACACCAGCATGGCTTTGATGAAGTTGCCCAGGTTCTCCAGCTGCAACACACCCCCACACACGCACACATACAGAACTTAGGAACAAGCCAGAACATCATCACACACCAACAGGACGTCTACAGCTGTGCTAATCTAAATGTCCTCACAGCAGAAACTGTGTGCTTTGGAAATACCACATTCGAGGGGTCCGCTCGGCCGCGGTCCAGCAGGTGTGGCAACAGGGACTTTACACACTGCACTTTAACACTAACACAGACACAGTTACATATTACATATTTTATTTAAATTATAAATTTGAGAGAGAAATAGAACGTATGAGTTTTTTTGTCCTCAAACATTGTTTGCAGTTTGTGTATTTCATCTGCTTTGAATAGAAAAACAAATGCACTTCTCACACCTTTTTTTTTCTGTGGTTTTCATACAGCAAAAGGCAAATTGAACTGATTCCTGCCTCATGAAGCCCAAAATAACATATACTCCCATGTTTCTTTGTGAACTCTTCAGTCTGTGCAGCAGACTGCAGTGGAAGTGTCACTTAGCCTAAAGCTGCATTTACAGGGCTGTGGGTTGGGCCTTTGCAGAGGGACTCCACTATCCAAAGCTCACCACAGACTGACAGGGCTGCTGTTACCTGGTGCCAGTTGAGCTGGGAGTGGTTGATTTTCTTGATGGATCCAGGCTGCAGTTTCTTCATGAGTCTGAAAGCACAGGACAGTCACAGAGTGGCATTGAGGTCCAGTCACTGCAGGAGAAGGACTGTGAACTTCATTTTCATAGGAGGCAGACATGACTCTGTTATGAGGCTGATGGAAGTTAAAATGATGACATTACTCACACGGGCACCAGATGTAGGGTTATTAAAAGTGTGTGTTATTTGTAGGACCTATTAAAGTGTGTGTTTTGTGTCAGAAAAGACTGGAATAAGCAGGGTACCAGAACTCATTAAAGTTCAACACAAATATTAAAGAAAAAAATAATTCTCTGAAGGGAAAAAATCTTCAATTTAAGGAATTTTAAGATTTAACTCACATGTCTCACATCACACATTTAGACAGCCTACAGTGGTGTTCACTTGAGCCATGTCTATAGCATTTTAACAGCACTACACATAAATAGCTGTAATCTTTGCATAAAGTCAAATCTCCACAGTTCAGCCCTTCTCCAGGCCCCTGTCTCTCTGTTTCTCAGCAGACTCACTCGCAGAGGATGACTCCATCTTTGAGGCCTTTCTGGAAGTTCTCCCCGATGCTCATGCCCGTCATCTCCTCGATCCAGAAGCGCAGCTCCTCCTCCTTCTGCAGATCATACTTCTGAGCAATCTGAAGATACATAAGCACAAGTCTATATAAGGGCAAAGGAAATGAGACTCCTCCACTAATCAGAGGAGCAGGCCTGACAGTCGAACAGCGTGTGGAGCGATGGGCTAATGGGGTATGAGCCTGTGGAGATGCACCAGAGCTCTTCTCAGTCATGTTCACAGTTTTATTTTGCCTCAGTGATGAGATAGCTGTGTGTGAGGTGGCATAGTGGCATTATTTAAAGAAGTACTATGCAACTTTTCACTACCACATGCTCATCTCCATGCTCCACTGTATGGCTTTGAAGTTGACCCATAACAGATCTGATGTAACCGGATGTCATCACCTGGTGGTCTCCAAGGAGCAATAACACCTACTAATAAAATTCATCAAGTTTTCTGTTTAGATCATTTTGCACATTTGTTTTTCAGACAAATGGTGACAGCTGCTCACTAAAACATGTCATAAACAACACATGAAACTAAAGCAATAACATCTCCATGGAGATGAGCAGATGGTAATAATAGCTAATACTGCACAAGCAGAGACAGAGTTTAAAAGGTAAGGCACTCAAAGACAAAAAAGTGAATACACTGCAGTCAAAAAAAAGACTGAGGCTCTTCACCAGGTGAGAATAAAAGTCCCTTATTGTAACATGGACTAGCTCTGACTGTCCACTTGAACAATATTTTTCAGTATTTCTCTCATGCACCTTCTCACACATTAGTGGGGACATTTTTCTTAATATGAGGCCTACATGATGATATTTGAGTTATACATGGTCCAATGATGAACTTAACCTAAACCATTACAGATCCTAGAACTAACTAGTTGAATGTTTCATTGTGCTATTATACCACATTCTGTTTCAGATGATTCACTGAAGGCTTTACGGTGCTTATCCTGATTTAAGGTTATTGTGAAAGTGATACAAGTCATTTCAATATAATCTATCATGAGCTTTACAGAATCAATACAAGGACCCGACCCATATGGATTTTTTTTTTGGATCTGATATGATGCCAGTCAAATGGGATTTGGAGGTGCCGATAGCCGATATAACAGACAAAATTTAAATTCACAGCAAATCTTCAACTGATAAAGCTCAGATTTGGCTTTATTAGATTTTAAGTTGGGTTTAGTTAGGTTACATTTACTGTCATATTTAAAGAAAGTAGGTTGGCCTAATGGTATTTTTACATTTTAGTCTGTAAACAAAGTAAACAAACTACCCTTATTTGCCTTTAGCGGTCAGTGTAAACGGTGCATTCAGGGGCAGTATGGTATCACAGACACAGACAACTTACTCCTCTTGAGAAATACCGATGTGGTGCCACATATCAGGATGTTGATCTGTCTGTAAATTGGATTAAATGGACATAAACCAGAGAGTCCAAACTCTATAATGGGGTAAAACATGCTGACATGGACTGTCGGCCCATAGCCGATATGTCTCCAAGTGCCCTATCAGCCAACCAAAATATCAGATGGGCCCTAATCAATACTTCTCACTTTGTTATTGTGACCTAAGTGTGGCCTAAGCGTGGCCTAAGTGTACTGAAGTATTTCTTCAGAAAAGTTAAGCCTGACTGTTCTCCACACAGAAGGCACTGAACCACGGCAGCAGCTCATAGCAGTTGCTATCAGGACAGAACCTTGCCCAGGCCAGCACAGCCACATGCCAGCGAGCACGCTGGCGCCCGGGGCACCGGTGCCCCGCACGCTGGTGCCCCACACGCCAATAGCGTGTTGTGGACATGTCCCTCAGTGTAGCACAGTGCTCCATTAGCCTCCTGAGCACAGCCTACAGCAGAGCTAATAACAGAGGACCATCTGCTGAGGGACACGTCTCATTTGACTCTGAGGAGATGATTACAGGGACAACTGTCCTCTGCAGCAGCTATTCTCAGACCATCAGCTCCTCAGGCTCAGGAAAGAGAGGAGGAGGAAGAGGGAAAGGAGGAGGAGCAGGAAGAGGGAGAGGAGACGGCGGGGGGAGAAGAGGTGGAGGGAGCAGAGGAATGGGAGGAGAGTTTAAGAGTTTATTTTGTTGATGTTCTAATGCGGCTGTGCTGATTCAGAGGAGCTGCTGCTTTCATTTGCTCATGCTGCACAAAGAAGCAACCAGAACAGAACAATGAGCTGTCCGTTCCTCACATTTCCCATGAGCCTTTATGCAGACTGTCAGCATCACAGTAAAAGCAAAAACAATACAATGCTGTGACTTGTGGGACACACAGTGTGTGGTAGTAATATCCTATAGATAGATGTGGAAAACCAGCTCTGATGAGTATTTTTAACTTGACTAAAACACTCTACACTTCATATGTACATTTCTATCCCCATGTGTGTTATATGTATGTAATGGTCAGTGGTGCAGTAGGTTCATGTTGGTCCATGTGTGTGTACTAGTCTATGTGCTCTCGTTTAAGCCCTGTCAGTGGGACATTTTTAGTATCAGTACCTGCTCAAATTAATATCTAGTTTAAGTTTTGGGTGGAGGAGGAGGAGGAGGGGGAGGAGGAGTGAGCTTGCAGAGGAGGAGCTGGCGCAGTGACCCTCAGAGCATTGACCCAGTACTGGACAAACACTAAATCAATGTGTAACCAGGACAACAGACCCACAGCAGACAGAGGAGGGGGTGGAGCCAGCGGTGGTACTCTATTCAAAGTATCTCTACTTCTAATAATACTACTGTTCCTCAAGTACTGTTACACTACACCAAGAAAAAGTACTACCATTGATCAGGGATGCACTGATACTGATACTGGTATCAATTATTGGCAATAATACTTTAAAATTAGCTGGATGGGGTATTGGTTTCATGATATCGGTCCAGCCTTTAATTGGTTGTAAAAATACTTATACTGTATGTACACGCTGAGAACGTCTTGTAATGTTTGAACTTTTATTCATACAATGCAGTTCAGCATGATGTGAAGGAGAAATTACATTACATTACATTACATTACACTATTGTATGTCTGTAATAAGTGAACTGAAAATAAATGCCATTTTCCTCTACTCTGGTACTGGTGAATATCCTGAATATCTCCTCTTTTGGGTCTGGACTTTCGGGTCTGGACTTTCGGGTCTGGTCTTAAGGACGCTCCCATGGGGATGTTTTCAGGAGATGCCAATAAGAACCTCCAGTAGACCATCTCTACTATGTTGTTATTGTGGATCTGTGGACTGGCAAAAATGGTGTCAGTCCTGACCAGAGACTGTGTATATAAATGGACAGAGCTAGTGTCTTCCGCACTTCCAGCTCCTACTGACCCTGGCGCCCACTGACTTACATTGGAATATTGTGGCCCCACTCTATGTGATCCTGGTGTTTTTATTCCGCTATTTTGTCTGATTTAAAAAAAATAAAAAATAAAAAATCCTATTTCTAATATGAAATCTGGGTCTAAATTGGCCCCTAGGGGACCCCTGAAACCATTAGCATTGCGAACTTCATTTGAGTGGAGCCAAGTCTCGCTTAGTTCACTTCTTTATACAGTTTATTGTCCTGAACCATCTAGAGCCTGTCCCGGTTTAGTCCCGGTTTAGTCCCGGTTTAGTCCCGGTTTAGTCCCGGTTTAGTCCCGGTTTAGTCCCGGTTTAGTCACGGTTTAGTCACAGTTCAGGGTCATGACCAAGGAAAGAAATAGAGAAATGTCAAAAGGAGAAATTCAATTTGTCAACTGGACAAGTTTATTTTGGTCAACAATTTTTCACAGCTTGGATGACCAAAATAAACTTTTGTCCAGTGGACACATTTAATTTCTCCTTTTGCCATACATTCTACCTGGACGAGTGAGGGATTTTACACAGAGAGAAATGTGTCCTCTGCATCGGACCCATCCTTCTAGTCATCCTGTTAAGACACACACCGGCCTGGGAGACCCAGGAATCACACCCAGAACCTTCTTGCTGTGAGATCTGAGTGCTAACCATTCAACCTCCTCAGGTCAGAGCAGGGACAATACAAGTGAAGACAGCCTGTCCACTGTAGAGCTAGAGGAGCAGAGCCAGAGGAGCAGAGCCAGAGGAGCAGAGCCAGAGGAGCAGAGCCAGAGGAGCAGAGCCAGAGGAGCAGAGCCAGAGGAACAGAACTAGCCTGTCTACTGTGTCCACAGCAGAGACAGAGGAGTGGGGGCCAGAGGGTCCCCATTGGCCTGCACTATTTGAGGAATGTGCAGTGTAGAGCTGTGCAGGAGCAGCAGAGCGCACATCATCAGGCCTTATGTAAGGGCCCCCAGACCGGCCCCTGGCTCCAGTGTCTGTGTCCTCACCACTCTGACACTGCACTTCACAGTAACAGAGGGCCCTGAGGAGGAGGAATGATCACGTGGACATTTAGTATTCACTTAGTCCTAAAAGTAACAGGCAACACAGAGACACACAAGACACACGTCTGTTCTGACTGACTGAAGTAAAGTACATCAGACTCTTGGGGGAGAAATCATTTGTTCAGTTGGTTCTGGTGCTGTGGGTCTTCCTGAGAGTGTAGTAAATTACTGTCGACCATCGTTACCAAAAGCTCTCTCGATGAAATGGTTTATTTCTTAGCTCTTCTTTACTGCATGTCTTCATTTGTCTCTACACCTTCCATGGGAACTACAGTTGTGGATTTGCTGCAGAAACTGGCACATTTACAGAAATGTTCATGAACACGTACTGCCCTGTTCAAATCCAGCAGAACACTGACCTGAGCCTCTGACCATGTGACTGTCAGAGGTCAGAGGAGACAGGGAGTTAAGTCTTTAAGGGGAGTCACTCCTCTGCTTTCCACAAGGACCACACAGTAGAAACTTTTAAAGGGATTTATCCAACTAAAATGTGTCAGCCTCTGAACTACAGCTGATCAGAAGAAACAGATGACTCTGTCCAATGTGTAAAACATGATTTTCAGTAAAAGAAGAGGTACACCCGTGTCGGTATTTGGTACTATGATTACACATAATTGTTTAAATATGTCAGCCGTATTGAAAATGTTCTATTTTTTGTTCTGGAACAATTAAAGTGTATAGTTATCTATAAATCCACAAAAAACCCCTGAGCCCCAGTGACCAGATGACAGTTCCAGAGAGTCAACAGTTCCACACTTGCATCCTGAACCTGCCTCAAAGAGGATTATGAAACAAGTCAACAGAGGACGGGGCAGTCGAGAGATTTCTACTCCTCAAAACTATTTCACTGAAACACCGAATGTGGAAAAAATGCAAACCCCAGTCTCTATGGAGACCAGAGCCCTTTTCATACCAAACTTTAACTTCAGTTTCATTGCAGTTCCAAGGCTGATTTTATGACAACAACGTGCCTTCAATTTGTAACACGACTCAATGTTTATGTTTACACCTCCTCGGGGTGCCTCGGATTCTTCTGCCCACAAAGCACCTCTTTTTAAAGGTCTAGACATGTCCTGCTGATCCATAAGAGGACAGAAAAGGGGGCGTGGCAAAAGCTCAAAACTATTAGAATAAATAAATGACGCCATCATTTAGTCATTCACCGACTCACTCGAGTCCTGTGACTCCTGAACATCCAAAACATCAAGATGATCACGATCATCGACATGTGAAGCAGTTAAAGCGAGGCTTTAGAACAGCACAGTGCACAGCTCTTTGCCCCATCCTCCAGCACCACTAGGACAGAATCAGGAGCACGGCGCAAACAAGTTCACTGATAAATCACAAGTAACTGATAAAATCATTGTATAATCATTTAAACAGACTCCAAGACTCATGAGCTCAGCTCAGAGCAGGAATTACACTAAAAACACTAAAATGATGTGTGTTTTTGAGGATACAGCTATTTCTGTCATATTCACTGGACTTCTGTGATCTAAACAACTAACTGAATCATCAAACGAATAATCTTGTGATTAATTGATTTATATCATCCATTAACTGATTCATTTAATCACAGTGCAGCGCACAGAGACCCATGTCCAGACCTGAGGCTGGTCTTGGTCATGAATACTTCAGTGGCCTCTGGAGCTCAACACTTACTTGGTTCAAGAAGAGAGATCACTAAATTACTGAAATGTGGATGACATCTAAAACCTCTTCAGGCATGTTTTTGATGTAGGAACAATATTATAACAAGGTAAAAAGATCCAAACGTGGATTTTGCTTAATACTCCCTCCTACTAAGTTTGTAAGCTTGCTCAAGTCTAATCACTAATCAGCTACGAGGTGAAAACAACACAAAATCTAAACTAAACTGCTAACTTATTAAAACAATTTGTCAAATTTTCTGTTTAAAATGTGTTTTTTGAACTGGAATCCCTGTTATGGACATTAGGTAACACTTTGCTGCTTAACCTCCATCCTGCCTTTAAACTCTTCATATCTGAATCTTTCTACAGTCTGTGGGAAAATGAATGGGAAATGTCCAGAAGCACAGTCAGCTCTGCAGTGGGCGGGGCTGTGGACCTCTATTGTGAATGTTTTTGGTTTATGAGGGAACTGGAGTCCCAGAGGAAATCCACACATCATACAGGCTGAGTCCTGGGTTGAGTCCTGGGTTGAGTCCTGGGTTGAGTCCTGGGTTGAGTCCTGGGTTGAGTCCTGGGTTGAGTCCTGGGTTCAACTCTGGGCTCTCCACCCAAACCCAGAGCCCTCTCATTATCTGCCATCACCCAGAGTCTGTTCACACCATTCTAGTGAGGCCCTCCATGTGCTGTAGACACACCCACACACACACAAACACACACACACGACCGCACAAACACATGCACACGGTTTTCCACACTTCTTTGGAACATTACATTGGCTTACATTCATTTACCTGATTCTAAATATAAACAGCGCTGTACCTGATTTTGAAAAACGGCAAAAACAGAACTCGTTCATTGTAAACAACAGAACTCGTTCATTGAAAACAACAGAACTCGTTCATTGTAAACAGTTTGCAGTGGTCCAAAGTTCTTCCTCACTTACCTTATGCATCCTGAGCATCCTGAGCATCCTAAATATTCACTGTGATGAGATTATATGCACTTTTCACAACTCTCAGAGACCAGAGCAGAGCATTGATATCACAGTAAAGCTAACAACAACTAGCCTGCCAACACACACAATTATTGGACAATAAAACACTTTATAATTAGACGCAGACAGCACACTGCAGACTTATTTTGACTCAAGTGCTGCTTATACAATACATCTGTGCTGGGGCTAGGCACATTCTGCTCAGATACATGGGAAAAACTCAGATCTGAACTTTAAACCATGTTGTTGATCTAATAATAAAGGATTTACGTCACAAGGGCCTGATTTGTCTCGTCATCAGGGAGGCAGGTCCCCTTGATGTGAGTGTGTGCACAGATTGAGTCCACAAAATGTGAGAAATACCCGCCCACACATACAGAGCAGACAGACACAGAGGTTTGTGCTTTCTGAGGTCTTTGAAATCTGGAAGTCCTGATTTAGATGATACATCTGCTGGCTGCTTCCTTTAGCCCACGTTCTTTATGTTCACTTCAACAGTCTAGTCTGTAAAACCAATCAGGGTTTGGTCCTGTTCTAGTCTAATCCAGGTCTGGCCCTGATCTAGTCCAGATTTAGTTCTGGGTTTAGTCATAGTTTAGCTCATGTTTAGATCTAGTTTAGCCCAGGTTTATTTATAGATAACGTCCCAGTTTTAAAAAGCCTTGATTCAAGTCACTGCAGAGTCAGTAAGAAAGACTTAGATTTGTGTTTTTCGATCTTTCTTTCTGGCGACACACTTTTTTTTACCCACTAAAGGTTTACCAGATGACACCATTTTGGAAAAAGAGCAAATATTTTCCTTGGTCTGTGTCTGCTTTGTTAGATTTGGGACATGACATGTTTCTCCACTGGTTCCGAAGTCACTGAGGACCAGGTCATTTAAACTGTACATTGTTCATTAAATGCATGTGTGCATTCATTATTCAAGGCACACAGAGCAATACCTCAACATTAGTTCTCCTGCATACTGGTTGAAAATCAATGATCTATGTATTCTCCAAGAGTCATTTAAACTGCTTTAACATGGAGCTTAGTGGAGCAGACCAGTGTGGTTTTCCCTCTGCCTGCTAAGCTTCTGCCTGTTGGAATAGATGTCGACATCAGATGATTAGAGCGTTTCTACAATAACACTGATTTAGACTATTGGACTGGACTTGCAAATGATTAGGTAAGAGTTTAATAGCAAAATAACCAATGATTAAGTTTTTAATATTCTGGCAGTTTCAATTCCATTAGTTAGGCCTACGCAGTACCTACTCTGGAGCACAGGTGGGTAGTGCAAAGTACTTTTTGGTAGCATTTTACTCCTACTTGAGTAGAAGTTTTGTTGAAATAAAAACAGTCTTATTAGTAAAAGTTGGTTTCTCTTCCCACTATGAATGAGTCTAAAGTGATAAAATCTTTATGTGACAATCTGAAATGATCATTTGTGTTTCTTGCAGTTCCTTCAGTTATGATTTAGTTTGTCTCATGTTTGTGTCTGTCCTTTGAAAATACCAGATTTTGTGACTTATGTAATATTTGGTCTTTTATCCAACTTACTTTTACATCATAATAAATCATGTTTCACATCCAAAGTGTTACTCTTCTCTTACTTAAGCTGTTAACTGTTGAACCACTAATTTTTACTTGAGCAGTAGGCTATTATTTTTGAAGTAACGGTACTTACATAGTACATACTCATCTACATCTCTATCTATCTATAAATGATTTATTTTTTTTTACTTTTACTTGAATAATAGGTCTATTATTCCAGCAAGTGGGCCTAAAAATACTTGTCGTTATTGATTCAAAGGCTTCAATTAAGATGCACACTAAAGGTGGGCAGAGCAGCCAAAATTTTTACTTAATTAGATGAACTTTCCTGCAAAATAACTAGAAGCACAAAGAAGTAATCCAAGAAATTACTCAAACAAATTACTTAAACAAGTATTTGTAGAAGAAAACTACTACTCAAGTAACAGTAAGTGTTGGGATGTAACTTCTGATTTATAATTTGAAGTAAATGTAACGTGAGGAACAAAACATTTAATAATGCTCAAAATGTGGCATTTTCAAAGGACAGACACAAAAATGAGACAAACTAAATCAGATGTGAAGGAGCTGCAAGAAACACAAATGTTCAAATCATTTCAGATTGTCACATAAAGCTTTTGTCACTTTAGACTCTCACAGTGGGAAGGGGAATTAGTAATGTTACTTCATGAGTAGGATACTGTTTTGGCTACTCTACACCCACCTTTGTACTTGAGTATTTACTTTTACTTGAATACTTGGCCTATTATTCCAGCAATAGTAAACTTATATTACTCTAAAATAGTAGTACTTTTAGTAAGTGTCCACACTAGTTGCCAGATCTGATTCTTAGTCTGTAATTAAGTTGCAAACTAGTTGCTCGATCAGTGAGTGGAAAATTCTGGAACGTAGGGCTACATTTTTGGGACAATAACCGTGACGAGTCCAGTGCGTATCGATGGAGAGCTTTTTGCGCATTCTCCAAACCTGCACCAACGCTTCTAAAACCACTGGAAACAAAGTCAATACGCGCAAACAAACAATTCTGATCGTTCTGAAAACTTCCACTTACTTTGCTCCTGACTTCTGCCGACAATCCGTACGCTGGCCCCTTGTTAAAATGAGTCATTGTCTTTCGTAAAAAATCCTCCGTTCCAAAGTTTGCACGGCGCAGCGATGGATCCTCCTCTTTAACGCGGTGTCTTGGGGGTGTTTGACCGCAGACGAGCGCAGGTATCCCGCAAAGAGTGTGCAGATTCCACCGTGTGAAGACTGGAAACGGGAGAGATCACTTTCTTTGACCGAACTGTCCAACTTTTTCCAGCACAAAAATGTCGCACGGAGATGGAGAAGACCGGAGCCAATCAGAGCGCAGCGTTCAGGGAGCCCACGCCCTCTGCTGATGCGCCATTTGGATCGATCGTGCCAAAATCAAATCAGTTCTGGATTATGGTTTTTCATGTGCGTAATAATACTGAAAAGAAGCGGGATTATGATTCTACATCTCTCATACACGCGGGGGTAGATTATTAAAAGTCTCTCCACGCAGACGGACGGTTGGAAAACACCTGGAGGACAAATTTCCACTCACAAAAACAGCCTACTACACGGAAAAAGAGAGCAAAGAGTTAAAAGGCCCATATTGCACCATTTTCTGATCCAGTTTTTAGAACGTTGTTTCCTCATCAAAAACAGACCTGGAGTTGTGTGTTTGTTTTCTTCACACATGTTTAACACACACATCTTGCATATTTGCATATTTAGTTCTTCTGTCACAAGGAAAACACTGTTCCACCTTGTGATGTCATGTGTTTTTAAACTCCACACACTTTCAGTAGAATCATTTCAACCCTGGAATTGCCGAACTCTACAAAACTGAATCTCAGAAGAATCAATTTTGTGCAATATAGGACCATTCATGAATCAGTGCTAGTGCAGCCTCTGCAACACAGGTTCAGTTGTCATAGAGCTTTTACAACACAGACTACATACAGGCCTGTTAATGTGCACTGTCAGTAAAATGGCCTCAAATAGCTGTGAACCCCTGGGAAAAAAATACAACAGCTGTATCCTAAAATGTATAAGGATCAATAATAGTTTGTTAAAAGTGAACAACTTTGTGCTTTTCCTGGAATGTTCCACTGTTTGGCCTTAACCTGATCTGTCCCACATTTTCAACATCACCATTTTACAGCCTGAGAGCCACGGCCTGGCATCCTGCTCCCCTTGCTTCAGTTTAAACTGCCTCTGTCCTCCTCTAGTCTGAAGAACATCTCAGCTCCACCACCATCACTACATCACCACACTCACCTGCTCATGATTGTACTGTAAGCTGGGGCGATTCTCCACTGATCTGGTGTCTCATTTAGGAAGCATGGGTATGTATCAAAGTGTTTTTACAGGACTTTCCATGTTAAGTTTATGATCTATAAAAAGACACCTTTTTCTGATGGAGGGTCCGCCACCTGCTTGTCTCATGATAAATATGCTTTTGATTGGCCTGAGTGTTCCAGTCTGGTATTCAACTTTTCCCTGTACATGGAGACAAGAATTTGCATGTATGTAGTTCGGTTCCAAAACTCTGAGCTGTGCATGTGAGGCTTTCAGAGATGAGCGAGAAGATCAGAGCTCAAAAACATTCTCAGCACGTTTGAGGGAGTTCAGTTAAAATTCTATATTCAAGTTTTATAAGAGACCTCTGACTTTAGCTTTGGCTACAATCCTGCATTTTTACATGCAGGTTTTTTCTTTTGCATTATCTTGTGTTTTAATGCGTTGTCATGTAAATATAAATACAAACAAACCTGCTCTGGCAACATCTCTTTGTTGTTACCATTGATACAGAGGAGTCTAATGCTGGAGAAGTTTCCATGTCTACTAATTACATTTCCAGTGATTATTGAACAACTGAACACAAAACTGTTTCATACAAAGTCTTGTGACATTTCTGAACAATATGCAGCCTCACATGTGTAAGTCTCCAGCACATGTGTCCGCAGAGACCTTAAGGCTCAATAGGCCTTGTACAGAATACAGTGTAACTCTTCATATTCAAACTGGCCCATCCTCAAAGCAGGGTCAGAGGTCACTGAGACACAAGTTTCCCAGAGAGAAAGAGAGAGAGGGAGGGAGAGTGGGAGCGGGAGGAAGAGGAGAGGGAGGGGTGTGGGTCTGATTCCCTCTCACCAGAACAGGGCTGGACAGGGGCCAGGGAGAGTCTAAATACCAACCCCAATCCCCCCAGGTCTCCTCAGATGGTTCAGCCCAGTGGCTCTGGGCTGCTGTTGGGTCTCCTCTTCTCTCTCCTCACCCCCTGGTATCCTCAAATGGTTCAGTCCATACCCTCTGGATGTTCTTCCTGTGCTCCTCTCCCTCCAGGAACAGGATAAGGAACACAAAAGAGCCAAAACAGCATGGTGGACAATGACAACAATGGTTTTCCTCTACTGAAACATGACTCCAAATGAGCTGTAAAAAGTAAACTAGTAGTGTTTGTCATGTTAAGAGAGTAAAAATTGCACAATACATATTACAATAAAGTCTTTATTGACAGAGAGCAGAAAGAGTCCCTTCAGTCTTTGGTCCAGGCTGTGTTCACACATGTTCATAATAACAATAATGAATTGGTTATATACAGCGCCCTGGGGCAGACTGACAGTGAGGCTGCCAACCTGCGCCATCGGCCCCTCCCATCACCACCAACACTCGCATCACACAGACACACACACACAGACACACACACAGGCAAGGTGGGTGAAGAGTCTTGCCTTAGGACACAAAGACAGAACTTGATCAGAGCGAGAACTGATCTGACCTCCAGGTTGAAGGACCACTGCTCTAACCAGTATGCCACAGTCGTGTCCGTGTGTAGTCCTGATGTACACTGGTCCTGTTCTAGTTCTGGTTTAGTCTTGGTCTTTCCCAGGTTTAGTTGCGGGTTTAGATCCAGTTTAGTTGTCACGTTGCTGTGGCGTGTGTCTCTGGGGTGGTCAGACGATGCGCCCAAGGAAAATGGCTCTGGGGTACTTGTCTCTGAGAGAGGGCCACTGCACAAAGAAGTAGTGTGTGACGGGGAAGAGGATCCTGCCAGTGAGTGACAGGGACTGCACCCGGCACAGGCTCTCCACGTACACCAGGACCACCCTCTTCAGTCCCAGCACTCCGAGGAGCAGCCCCCCCAGGCACAGAGGGACGCATGTGCCCGGCCCGTTACACAGGATCTGAAACAAACATGAGAGAAGAAAGTGTCAAGTGTCTGTCCTGTCTAATGTAGTCGTGAACTGTTGAAGTGTTCACCATCCCCGTTTCAAAGCCTGTGTGTATTTGTGTCTGTGCTCTTATGTTTTTATGTAAATTATTATTGCAATGTTTAATTATAAATTAAATCTTATAAAACATATTTCTTCCTTCATGAACAGTGATATAAGTATTATGTACAAACTGAATCAATTATTGCCATGAAATGAAATATAGAAATCCAAACCTATAACAGTATTGACTTGTGTGTTGTGCCTCTAGCCCTCCTCCACACTCAGCCCTCACATGTGACACTGTCCAGAGGATCTCTAAAGCTATAGAGCACGTATTCAACACGTTAAACAGTTCTCCATTCTCCCTGACCTGAGCCTGACCCTGAGCCTGAACCTGAGCCCAGACCTGCTGCTAAATCTGGGAAAACAGAGCTAAGGAGCCTTCACTTCTGACCTAATACATCCAGTGTGTGAGCACAGGGAGAGGGCTGTGAGGAGGAGGGGTCTGAATGAGGGCCTTCAGTCACTACAGCCTTGTTTGGTTCACTTCAGAGCAGATCGGTACGTTCTAGAAGTGTCTCCACTGTGTAAAGTGAACTGTACTGCTCCGTTTGAGGGGTCTGAAGGAGAAGACCCTGGAGGGCACTAGCTCCCAGAGGGGTCTGGGTCAGGAGCTACTCAGCAGACCAAGGCCTAAACAAGACTACAAAAAAACAGCAACTAATAATTTCTCATCAAGTGCTGTCTTAATCTTGTGACAGACCACATTTCCACTGATGTGATCTGACACAAAACACACACAGCAACAGCTATAATTGCTAAAAAACAAAAAAACAACCAACCAAACAAACAAACAAACACTATCACATGTAACAAGACTTTTGGGAGACTTAAAACTTAAAACAAGTGAGTAAATGCCCAAACACAAGTTTAATATTTTCCCATTTCTTCTCCCTTGCAATTGAATGCCTCTCCTAGTCTGTGCCTAATATCAGTCAGACTGTGCGGTTACATGCAGCAGGGATCAGAGTACACATGGGTTTCTCCAGATTGTGGCCATACCAGTTTGTCAATGTCTGATCCCGTCAGATCTCAGAAGCTCAGCAGGGCCGGGCCTGGTCAGTACTTTGATGGGAGACCACTGGGAAAATCAGGTGCCACAGGGGGCACCAGTTGTAAAAAAAAAAAAAAAAAACTGTCATTGTGTTCTTAAGCAAGCACTTCACCCACATTACCTAGTATGAAAGTGGTGTGTGCGTGAGTGATGGTGGTGTGTCAGAGGGGTGTGTGTGGGCAGCGGTGTGTGGGGCGGTGGTGGGCGTGGTGGGGCAGTGAAGAAGCGGTGGTGGAGGGGATGTGGGGCGTGGGGCGTGGGGCAATGGGTGGTGGGGCAGTAGAGGGGCGGTCGTGGGGCAATGGTGGGGCAGTTAGAGGGGCGGTGGTGGGGCGATGGTGGGGTGATGGTGGGATGATGGTGGGATGGTGGTGGGATGGTGGTGGGGCGGTGGTGGGCGGTGGTGTGGGGCAATCGTGGGGCAATCGTGGGGCGGTCGTGGGGCGGTCGTGGGGCAGTAGAGGGGCTGTGGTGGGGCAGTGGAGCAGGGCAGAGGAGGAGAGCTGGGGTTTCGACTTACAGGAAAGCAGACAGCAGCAGTATGTGTCTGGAGAAGCCATCACACTCACGCACAGCAGCCAAGTACACTGACGTCAGCCTCTCCCTTCAGCCTGCTCAGAGCTCCACGTCTACGGAGTTCAGAAGCCAGAGAGCCAGAGAGCCAAAGAACCACAGAGTCACAGAGCCAGAGAGCCACAGAGCCACAGAGCCAGCGCTGGAGTGAGCAGGCAGGACAGATGAGAACAGGGAGGGGGCAGTTTTCCAGTGATTGACATTTTCATTCTTGTGTTTATTCATCCATTCTCTTCCTCTTAGCCCAGGTCGCAGAGGCACAAGTCTGAGCAGAGAGGAGCAGACCTCCTTCACCCCAGACATTTCCTCCAGTTCTTCCAGGGACACAGCGTGTGCTGGCTCTTCCCTGGGGCCTCCTCCAGGTGGGGCAAGCCCGAGCTTCAACTGCTCCTTTCCCACACTTTGTTTGAAATCACTTCACAGGATTTTTCCAGGACATTTTTAATGATGTGATCGCTGTGTCTACAAATGCATGAAACCCTTATGTAGTTTACTGCACCTGAAGTCCACACTGATGCTAAATTATTATTTTCACACATCTCAATCTACATATTTGCTTTGCTTTGCTTTATCTATGCCTGAATAGAAAATGCAGTCATAGCACAAACATAATGATATAACAGTCTTTAGTAGTGACTGCACATTCTTCTGAGTTTGAATGGCACTGTGTCCCTGTGGTTACATTCATGAAACAGAAAATTGTTTGGTTTTGGAGGAGGTTTTTCATACTTAATGCTTCTATATTACATATCCAATAATGTGGCAAAGCAAAAAGAAGGGGGGGTCATCTTAAAGGACACAATATATATTTTCCATTTGGCCCTTTTTACCTAAATTATCAGGCATGTTCCATTTTGAGAACACAAAACAATTATTTTCCAGGTCTTCCAGGATTTCCAGGATGTGTGGGGACCGCGCGTATTATGCGTTTTCATTATTATAATATTTTAATAATGACAAATACATACAGGGCAGTGGGCAGGGTTATGGGGTAGGCGAAAACTTACATTTGTCTGTTCTTATGATGAACAAAATGTAAGATGATCTGCGTACGTCTTATGCCATAATGTGTCCTATAGAGCAGTGAGTCTGTGTGACTGTAGCTGTGTGCTGCTGGCGGGAGAGCAGAGCCAGTGTGCGGCCTGTAAGATTACTCACAATCCAAACGATCGCAGTTTGAAACGACACAATTAGCAAATCTCAAAAGCTGTCATTTCTGAAGCACCATACTATTATTAAGTACCACCTTTTCCTCTTATTCTGGATAAAAGCTGATAACCCTGGAGTTTAGATCTGTATAAACATGTTAGGAAATGTGATTCGGATATTAGTTTGTCAGTTCAGATTTCAAATAAATTATTCTGGGCGTGTTTGAAATGTCAGCTTTGAACAGAATCCCATTATTAAAACTAACCGCAAATTCAATGCTTGTCAGAAAAAGACATTGAGATATTTTCCCCAAATGTTTCAGCCCTGATCCACAGAGCCGCCACTCCTCCTGCTGCCGGTGGGGCTACTGGTGATGGTGGGTGGTGCTGCTGGTGATGGTGGTGGTGCTCCTACTGGTGCTGGTGACCGCTCTGCTTCAGGAATGTGCTCTCAAAAACTCACCCAAGCAAGAGCTGCTCCGGCCCCACCAGCCCAACGCTATGCTCTGGAAACATGGAGCCAGTGCCAGTGGAAAACAATACTGAGAATGAGGACAGAACAGTTAAGACCGAGTCACAACTGGAGTCTGCTGCTGCTGCTGCTGCATTCTTTTAGAGTGACAGACACCTGCTTGCAAGGGTTGTCCAAAGTATCGAAAATCAGATACTAATCAATTCTAAAACTAGTATCGGAACTAGATATTCATTTGAGCATGGATACTAAAAAAGGCACACTGACAGGACAGAAGTGAACCTTTTCTGAACAGCTTTAGAATGATGTTGAGTTGTATGAGAATAAGTAGAAGAGCACACAGACTAGACACTATGAACCTACTACACCTCTGAGGATTACACACATATAAGACACATGAGAATAGAAAAGAAAGTTCTACCATTTAATGTGGAAAACCACATTCTATTGCCTAAACAGTTATTATTGTGGTATCGGAATCTGTATTGTGTATCGAGTCTATTACTTAGAATCAAAATTGAGAAATGTGACTATTGTGACAACACTACTCCAAATGAAATCTGAGAAAGACAAGAAGTGTTATAATTCATGTGACAGGATCATTTGCTTTTGTATATTAGTGAATTATAATGTGAATATGGAGCCCAGTTTTACATTTGGAATTTCCGACTGGCGGTATCATAACAGCCAAAGAGTCAATGAGGAGTGAGGCTGTTGAGGGTAAGATACCTTCCCGCCCCATTGCTGAACTAGTTCTGTTTTTCAGGTTTTTACGAAAGAAACAGGTCCAATACCTTTCAACACCGACTTACAAGCTCTGCAGAGGTCAAAAAGTCAATGTCAATGTCAGTCAATGCTGTGTAAAGGTTGCCATACATTACAGGATTTTTCAGTCTTAAACGATTTTTAAATGTGTGAAAAAAAGTGCACACCACAGACATGAGGAGAATCTTATGAGACTTAAAATCTCTGATTGTAAAGACTGCAGCGGGATATGTCTGTGGACCACAGGATATTAAACTGTGGTCATGTCAGCTGTTTCCTGTCTACAGTAAAACCAGTCGCTCTGAGACTCTTATGTCATTATGTTAGAAGGACAATTTCTACGAATAATATGGATGAGATACAGCACTTTATATTTACCACTTTACGAGAGGTGAGGAATAAAATCTTCTCATTAGTTTCGCCATTTCCTGAGTTTGTGTGTTGCGCCTCTGTGTCTGTTGCTCCGTCTGCCCCTGATGTTCTGCTGTATTGGCTTTTACTGTTTTACTGCTGATGTTTGGTGGTTATGATCTGACAGAGCAGCTCAGAGTCACACTGACACCACACGCATGAAGAGTGCAGCGACCTCAAAATTGCACAAAAGGCAAAAAGTCAGGTCACGTCTCCCCGAACTCTGAGAGAAGCAAATCACTTTCCTCTCACTTCATTTACATATAAGAACTCACCCACAGCCCTACACAGATCTGAACACTCACCCACAGCCCTACACCGATCTGAACACTCACCCACAGCCCTACACCGATCTGAACACTCACCCACAGCCCTACACCGATCTAAAGGCAGGCTGGTTGTACTGCTGCATGTTCCACACTCATTTGAAGTGACACAGAGCCAGGCCCATGAGTGCTCTGTTTAACTGCAGCATGGAGCTCTGCACAGGCTCACAGGGGCAGTCTGTCACCTGTCACAGCCCCTATCACCTGTCACTAACTTCTCCTTATCACCTGTCACAAACCGGTTTGGAGAAGGAACATGACTGAGACGGACAGGCGCACACTGGTACAGTATGTGACTCTGGAGGTAGCAAATCACCTGCATGAGTCCATGGAAACAGAAAGTTAAAGCCACACTTTGGAACATTCTCCACGAAAATAAGTTTTATGTAATACTGTGGAAGATTATAGCCAAAGGAACAACAAGATCATAGAAACAAGCAGGAGAAAGCCCTCCTCCAGGCCTGAGGATAACACATGGTTTCCAGTGTCATAAAAACATCCAAAATGAAAAAAGAAAAACATGTTTTTATCTTTGTCTATTTTTAGCTCAAAAGTACATGGTGGGGCTTTAAGAAATACACATGTTTGCTTGTTGTTACATGAACACTGAGTCACCTGTATGTTTATAGCTTCTGGCATATCAATTAGACACCACACTGACCACAACAGGCACTGACTTAACAAATCCTATTGCTTATATATATTTATTATATATTTTGTTTGTTAAATTAGCATGAAATGAATACTAAATCCAGACTAACATGACTGAATCTTGACTAAAACTGAAATGCATTTCGTCATGACTAGATTTAAAGTTAACTCAGCGACCCTGATCATGCAGCACTCAGAAGAACACAGCACTGGATCTAATTAAAAAGGATCTAGGATTCTAGTCAGAATTACACACAACAGAAGGCGAGAGTGTATGGCGATTTACACTGGATGCCCTCCCTTCAGCCAATTTCATACTGTCTGAAGGATCTCTGGGAGACAAAACCCTAATCTTGACTATAATGTTCCTTCTAATGTTGCTGTATAGATGCTTCCCTTTCAGATAAACTAGGGCTGGGTATCATTAAGAAGTTGCCCATATGATACATACCTCAATACACAGGCCACGATACGATACATATCTCGATACAGTGCACTTTCGATTCGATATGATATATTTCAAATAGATTCGATACGGTTCAATAAAAATAAAGGCTAAATCGTGGCTGTGATACTAAAAGTCTTTGTTAAACCACTTCTTGTGCAAAGTTCATATGAAACACAAACATTTTAATCATCAAAACAGTAAAAATCTCAAATGTGTTGCATAAATGAGTTTCCTTTCACTCAACAAGCAACAAAACTGTAGCTCTGTAACAAAGTAATTTAGTAAAACACACCTAAAAATACTCTTGGTGATATATCAATACAGTAGCCCACGATATCGATCCTGTATCATCACATTAAACAATACGATATATCGATATTCCGATATTTTTGCACACCCCTAGTGTCCACTGCGTCCTGTTTCCTTTCCCTGAAGAGCCAGATCACATACGACAGAAGAGACAGATCAGACTCATCTCCTCACACACAGCATTCTTGGGATTTCAATCCAAACTAAACTAATTTCATTTGTTACAGAATCTTTGATGAACACACTCAGGAATGTTACAAGTATTGAGCATATATAAGGACAGAGTTAAGCCCCTCCTCACAGTTAAACCCACTGTACGGTCTTGGACTTGAGTATCACTTACAGGCACGCACAGCAAAAACACTAATACTGGCTAATGGCTAAAACAGTCATTCATATCACTAAATATTTAGTAAAATTGTTATTAATGCGGGGGTATTTTACTTCTTTGGGGTATTAATTGCTTTCACACAGCATATTTAGAACACCATGAACACCTTTTATTATTTTTAAATGCTATATTAGCATTACGTTTAGAAAACAACATATTAATATATTTTATAAATTTCACTTTCGGTTTTTACACTGATGCTGCCCGTCAGTTTGACCCCACGCCAAGTCACTCCCCCTTCAAAGTGCTGTCACAACACAATCAGTGTGCATCTCGCTAATGAAAGTGCTGCACATGTTTTGTATCCTGCTCTTGTATATTTCTGGACAGTTGTCGTGTGGGAGCACAGTAGACTTGTGGATGGAGCATTGCACAGAATCTTACAGCTAATCATAAGGAGATTTTGAATAGGGTCCGGGAGAGATCACTAGATTACTCAAACATGCAACCTCTTCAGTTTAGTCATGATTTTCCTGTGTCCTAATTTAACGGTGAATTGATTTTGTTTTGTTTTTGTTATTTGGTGAGGTACAGTACAAGCTGATGAACATACATGATATGTGCTGTAAACTGCTCCATATTTGTACTCACAAACACACTCGCATTCATACACCAGTACACAGAGACAATGGAGGTAAAGTGGGGGGAAGTGTCTTGCCCAAGGACACAACAACAGTATTGTGCACTGAGTCACATCCTGTCCAACAAAGTCCTAATCAGGCCAAAAGCAGCTTCACTTCAGACAACAGAGAAGACTGGGCATTCTCCAAATGGTAACAAGACCACAATTACTATTGTTATTTAGTATACTGAAGATTGCATTATGGGATGGTAGGACCATCATGGTACATGGCATGGGTTTATACTGAGGTGAGAAAAAAACAGCATACCAGTATCACATATTTTTTTGAAAAATCGAGTATGACATTTTAGTTATGGAAATCAAATTAAAGTGCCCCTCCCTTCTCTTTCAGCAGCAAAACTCATCCTGCACATCTCAACCTGCCGGCTCTTAGTTTAGATTAAAAATTTGTATAGACACCTCTCTGTGTGTGTGTGTTTGTGTGTGTGTGTGTGTGCGCGCTGTGCACACTCACCAGGTCAGGTTTGAGTCTGAACACCAGGGGCACAGAGTAGCACAGGGCGTGCACAGTGCTCACGACAGATGAGCTCCAGGACTGGTGCACCTCTCTGCTGCGCGGGATCCGGAACACACTGAACTGAAGTACAACATAAAGCACAATGATAATACTGCAAAAAGGTCCGGGACCATCCAGAGAACACAAGAACAAAGAAAAGTAAGAGTAATCCTGAGATCTTTCAAATCATCTTTCAATGATTAAATCACATTCACATTTCCATTCATATTTGTGGAGAAAGATGTTTAAGTTTATGAACTGTTTGCTTAACCTGGCTCTCCCCAGACTCATATGTGTCCCTGTGAACTGAGTTCTACATCAGTCTGAAAATGTTCCTCTTTGATCAGAGAATTCAGACACATATCAAAAACACTGGCACAAACCATAAAACTGTACTGTGTAGAACCTGTTAGTGTAGAACCTGTCACATGCAAACACTTCAGCTGGAGCCTAACAAGACAGATTCTCAAGAGTTTTTGAGTGTACAAAAATTGTAAGAATTCATCTTGTTGTGCAAAGCTACTCTGTAGTAGCATAAATATCTGAGGATATGTGTGAAAGTGCTCCCTCTTCTGGTGACATGCAGTCACTTTAAGTGCCCCCTCTCCTGGTAGCGTGTGGTCCGTGCCCCCTCTGCAGGTGGGGTGTGGTCAGTGCCCCCTCTGCAGGTGGGGTGTGGTAGTACCTCTGAGTCTGCCTGCTGTCTGGAGCTCTCGAAGGCCTGGATCTTGTCATGGCTCATGCGGTCAGTCTGTGCCAGGACGTAGTAGCGCGGGGTGTAGGCGGAGGACAGACTGCCCAGGAGGCGCAGGATCTCTGAGGTGTGGCCCCCTGCACTCACACACAACAAGGAATCTGGTGGGGTTCTCAAACAAAAATCAGATGCTAATCAATAAAACTAGTATCAAAACTAGGTATGGATGCACTGATACTGGTATCGAATATTGGACCACTGTGGAATTACACAGATATAAGGACACATAGCAAATACACATACTACCATTTCATGCTGAAAATCACATTCTATTGTCTAAAGAAAGTGTTTTTTTTATTATCATTGTGGTACTTGCTATTTTTCTGACAAACATTATGATTCAATGTATAATGAAGGTTTTACTATGATTTAGTTCAAAGTTTACAAGACTGAAATCTGAACTGAAAATCTAATACAAGAATCACATTTCAGAACATGTTTGTACAGATCCAAAATACAGGATTAGCATCTTTTATGCAGAATAAGACAGGATATTTTGTGGTTTGTGGAGGAAATGATGGTTTTTAAAATTTACAGCCTTTTTAATTTTGTAATCGCGTCCATTCAAATTGTGATTATGGTTTGACTGTGATTAATCTTGCAGCACTAAACAAACATTATCTGGGCTGCACAGACTTAAAAACACAAAGAAAGAAATATTTCTGATTTTTAGCAATAATATACTTTATTCATAAAAAAATCTTTATCCATCAGACTTCAGTCATTGGATTTCAATCGTAATTTGGTTGAACAATTTGGGAAATGCAACTTGATTTTTCTGACAAGCGCTGAGATTGAGAATGCATCCAGCAGAATTGACAAAAAGAGTGAAATCTGAACTGACAAACTAACACAAGAATCACATTTCAGAACATGTTTGTACAGAATTACACAGAAGAGACTGCTATTGGTTCAAACATGCCCCCTCTGACATAGACAGTCTTAAAGCTTTCATCCTTTCAACTATTTTTAAAAGCTGCAGTGTGTAACTTTTCTGGTGACATGATGAGGACACCAGGTGTTACTGGTAAGATCTGTGGAGAAGTGATCGCACACACAGAATGTATGTCTACCTGAAAGACCAAGCACTGGTGTACTTTTAAAGTACTTTTAAAGTCTTGTGCACAGTACTTAAACAATCCCCTTATGGTGAGTTCTTACTAAATATGTGTGCAAAAATATCTAAATAATGGTATGTTTAATGTTATGATACAGTATCAGTATATCGCTAAGAGTATTTTTGGTATATTTTACTAAATTATTTTGTTACAGCTACAGTTTTGTTGTTTTGTTTAGTGGAAGGAAACTCCTTTATGAAACACATTTGACATTTTCACTGTTTTGAGGATTAAAATGTTTGTGTTTTATATGAACTTTGCACAAGACTTTTAGTATCACAGCCATGATTTAGCTTTTATTTTTATTGAACTGTATCGTATCGATTTAAAATATATTGTATCAAACAGAAAATGCACTGTATCGAGATATCAATGATATCACGGCCTGTGGATCGAGGTATGTATCGTATTGGCAACTTCTTAATGATACCCAGCCCTAGTTATTATCATGTACAGCCACAGGAATAGACCCGATATTCAATAACAAATCTGATACCATGATGATAATAAAATTAAATTTTAAAAAAGTGAGTGAGAATGAGTGAAGTAGAGAATGAATCTTCAAAAGTGGGTCATGTACTGCAGAAATATTATGTTAATGTTTATATTATGTTTATATGATAAATGCAAATTTAAATTGCAATTATTCTAATATTTCACATAAACATTTACAAATACTGTCCATAATTGTCAGGAGTTGTTTCAGAGTTCTTGCAGTGTGGTCAAAGAATACTACAATCCACCCACACAGGTAAAGAGGTAAAGAAGAGGTTTTTCAGGTTTGATTTGACTCAAAAATATAAATGGTGGTTTAAAGGACTTCTGGCTGAACCTTCCAAATGTTGAGCTAAATAATGAAAACCTTTTGGTAAGATATTTTCAAGTACAGAAACATTTTATATCATTATTTCTTAGAGCAAGAAGCAGATCAGGCAGGTAGGCTAGCATCACAGCAGCGTTAAACAGGGATAAAGAGTGGGGAGACCCTACCTGATCCGGCCACGACCAGCACCGACACCGAGCCCTTACTGCCAGGCTTGTATCTGGCTCCTGATTTTAGGACTACATATAAACGGAGACAAAACAGAAGGAATAAAACTACAAGAGCTAGCACAACTGTCTCAAGAGCTAGCATGGTGACTACGGCTATGGGCTGCGAGAAGGGACAAACAAGCTGTGGATTTAGACAACGCGATCTGACGGTGCGCGCTGTACTGGCGCCCTCTGCTGGAATAATCTGCTACTTGTGTTAAATTAGGAAAGAAAATAAAACAAAAACCTAACCTTACAATATTCCATGTATTTATTTATTTATTTAATAAACTGAGAGCCTTATTGCATATAGGTCTACTGTAAGCGGCTATTTAAACTTCGAGGACCATTCTAAATGTCTTAAATTTATATATGTGGTCTTTTCGTGGACATTTCTTGCCGCTGCAGAGGACTGAGGAGCCCAATAAGATCAGCCAACACACGTCCTTTTTCCACACTGCTCTGTACATGGTTATACTTGGTTATATGGTTATAGTTTTCTTCTTCTTCTTCTCCTTATTATTATTATTATTATTATTATTATTATTATTATTATTAGTAGTAGTAGTAGTAGTAGTAGTAGTAGTAGTAATAGTAGTATGTAATTAAGTCATAATTTCTGTTTGTCCAGCTTCGAATAAAAGAGAACTCTCAATCTCATAAACATGTAAAACATAAATGTAAATCTGTAACCCACTTATTTTCAATGAAGTCGACCACTCTGAGAAGGATCTGGATCCCTCTGCTTCACACAGAGTCCAGCCATTGGTCTGTGCTCCACAGACACAGGCGGTAGGAGCGTGAACGCGGCAGCTAGAGGCTGTAGGAGGAGCGGCAGGCGCCAGAACGCGCAGGATGCTGAGGCGGTCGACTGAAGCCTGAGCGCGGCAGAGGCGGCAGGAGGCGGTAGCATCAGGGCGGGGAGGCAGAAGGATGGCGGTCAGCGGTTGTAAAGTGTTCGCAAAGGCCGAGGACCTGCGCGGTTCTCCTGACAGTTCCAGGTCAGTGAGTGACGCACATTACACGCTGACACTGCGCGTGCACAGAGCAGGCTGCGCGGGCGTGTGGGAGCTACAGGTGAACGTCCTCCGCGCGCGCCAAGGTCGAGCGGCTCATCTTGTGCCGCGCACGTGTTCACGGTGCTGAGGCCTGGACCTCCGCTCGGACCGTGTCATCACACACCGCGGGAGTTCGTGCGTGTGTCTGTTTCCCACGGAACGCGTTTGATGACACCGTAAAAGACTAATGCTGGCAACACGTGGGGTTGGGCGGGGCTTCGTGAAAGCGCTGTTATAGATCAAGTTTAGATTCTGTAAAGATCATCTGTCCTCAGACAGCGAGGTTACAGGTGTCTCCACAACTCTGCACGACGCTGCTGTTATAGAGCTGATGTTATTAGAGCTGATGTTATTAGAGCTGATGTTATTAGAGCTGATGTTATAGAGCTGATGTTATTAGAGCTGATGTTATAGAGCTGATGTTATTAGAGCTGATGTTATAGAGCTGATGTTATAGAGCTGATGTTATAGAGCTGATGTTATTAGAGCTGATGTTATAGAGCTGATGTTATAGAGCTGATGTTATAGAGCTGATGTTATTAGAGCTCATGTTATAGAGCTGATGTTAGAGAACTTGTGTTATCAAACTACAGATAAATAAATAAATAAATAAATGACATAGAGGACCACACAACTCAAGCAGTGTTAAAATCCTGAGAATAAAAGTTTGTCTAAAGTAGGCTATGACGATAAAGTACATGCTTAAATGTTCTTTATCTTTTATTATAAAACAAACTCAAATATCAAAATATACATATATTGTGATACTAAATTTGTATTATTATGGTGGGCTGCTGTATCAATATATCACTAAGAGTATTTTTAGTTCTTATAGCACATTTTTTTGTGACTTCACTGCAATTTTGTTGCTTATTTAATGGAATAAATGTGTTTATGCAATACACTTGACGTATTCACTGTTTTGATGATTAACACAAGTAGTGATTTAACAAAGAAATACTGTTGCAAAAATCATTTTCTTTACTAAAAAGCAATAATATATCAGAGTATCATGTGCATTCAATTATCACATGTATTGCCATATCGTGATAATATCGATTTTATCAATAAACTGATTTTATCAACGATGTTATGTATTATATTATGTATTGTATGCTGCCTGAAATATGAATACAAATTATCTATCTTCCTTTCTATCTTTGTCACTGTGAGCCCTGTATTGTGTATCATATCTTATTTTGTGATATATATTGCAGCATATATTGCAGCCCTCATGGCTGTCCAGGCTCTGACCCTTGTCTCATGTGGCAGGTTCCTCTCCGGACCCTCAGCTCTCTGAACAGGAGCACACAGCACACAGAGATGGAGTCTCTGTCCATGAGCAGCAGCAGCAGAACTCCAGTATTCATCACCTCTTCCTCTTCTTCACACTTCCTGACTCCTCTGAGGAACGGCTACGGTGCAGCCTCCGGCCCCTCCGGCCCCTCCACCCCCTCCGGCCCCTCTGCCCTGCCCACCATCACCATCCTGGGCTCGGGGGACTTCTCCAGAGCGCTGGCCCTGCGCCTGCTGCGGGGGGGCTTTCATGTGGTGGTGGGGAGCCGCAGACCGAAGCAGGCGGCTCACTGCTTCCCCCATGTGGTGGACGTGACGCACTACGAGGACGCCGTGGGGAAGGCCAACATGGTGTTCCTAGCCATCCGCAGGGAGCACTATTCTGTGCTGTGGGACCTCAAGCACCTGCTGGAGGGTACGGTACTGGAGTCATTTACACATGTATATGTGCCAACTCCTGACAGGTCTCACATGAGACTGGAGCCTGTACTCCTGTGTCTATTAAGAAATATCTGCCATAAAAAACGGTTTGAATCTGATCAAAGCCTGCTCTTTCTGATCACACCACAGGAGCTCTGGATTTACATATTTCCTCCTGATCTCTGTACTATATAATTCATGAATGACTTTTTCAAAATAGATTGTATTTAGTCAAAGGAATTATATGTAAAATTGTTAAAATTCATAAACCTGACCTATTTGTGTCACCAGATACAAGATAAACAAGTTTAAATCAAATAAGGCAACCCATTTTTCATCGTCCTGAAACCCATCTGTAATGTCACTCTGTGTAACCAGTGAGACAAAGATGACTGTGACAGTGAGACAGATGACTTTGTCAGACTTTATTGCATTTTCCTCTGGGGTCTCTGAAAAGTATCTCCTCATACAGATGATAACAGACTGACTGTGTGATTATTACAAAGACAAAGTGTTCTGTTCTTCTGTGTCACAGGGAAGATTCTGGTGGATGTGAGTAACAACAGGAGAGTGAACCAGTACCCCGAGTCCAACGCAGAGTACCTGTCCTCTCTGCTGCCCTCCTGCACTGTGGTCAAAGGCTTCAACGTCATCTCCGCCTGGGCCATGCAGCAGAGCTACCCCCTGGATGCCAGCACTCACGTGGGTATAACAGGGTATATTCTCCAGCACTCACGTGGGTATAACACACCAGTGCATGCACTACATACACTATATACTAGTATATACACATCTCTACACCTGCAGTGACAGGTGCAGTGACAGGTGTACATCTGCAGTGACAGGTGTGCGTCTGTGTGTTCATCAGGTGTACATCTGCAGTGACAGGTGCAGTGACAGGTGTACGTTTGTGTGTTTGTCAGGTGTACATTTGCAGTGACAGGTGCAGTGACAGGTGTACGTTTGTGTGTTTGTCAGGTGTACATTTGCAGTGACAGGTGCAGTGACAGGTGTACATTTGTGTGTTTGTCAGGTGTACATCTGCAGTGACAGGTGCAGTGACAGGTGTACGTCTGTGTGTTTGTCAGGTGTACATTTGCAGTGACAGGTGCAGTGACAGGTGTACGTTTGTGTGTTTGTCAGGTGTACATCTGCAGTGACAGGTGCAGTGACAGGTGTACGTCTGTGTGTTTGTCAGGTGTACATCTGCAGTGACAGGTGCAGTGACAGGTGTACGTCTGTGTGTTTGTCAGGTGTATATCTGCAGTGACAGCGTGTGGGCGCGGCAGCAGGTGATGGAACTGGCGCGCCTGCTGCACTTCCGGCCTGTGGACATGGGGCCCCTGAGCTGGTCCCGGGACATCGAGACCATGCCCCTGCGCCTCTTCCCCGGCTGGAGGGGCCCCGTGCTGGCCGCTGTGGCTCTCTCCATCTTCTTCTTCTCCTACTCCTTCGTGCGGGACGTCATCCACCCGTACGTCCAGTCCCGACAGAGCGACTTCTACAAGATCCCCATGGAGGTGGTGAACCGCACGCTGCCCGCGGTGGCCATCACGCTGCTGGCTCTGGTGTACCTGGCGGGGCAGGTGGCGGCGGGGCATCAGTTGTATTATGGGACTAAATACCGGCAGTTTCCGGGCTGGCTGGAGGGCTGGCTGCGCAGTCGCAAACAGCTTGGTCTGCTCAGCTTTTTCCTGGCTGCGGTGCACGTGCTCTACAGCCTGTGTCTGCCCATGAGGAGGTCTGAGAGGTACCAGCTGCTCAACACCGCCTACCAACAGGTCAGGAACTCCACAGTCGTACAGTACAATGTCCTACCAACAGGTCAGAAGCACCGTTCATACATGCAGCCTGGCCTAAGAATTTACCCACATGTTGCTAGAAAAAGGTCATGTGTAAACAAAGCTGGAAACTGACTGAAATGAAATTGCAGGAAAGGATTAGTATGTGTGAATAAAGACAGAAAAATGAAAACTCACATACACTGTATAAAAGACGTGGAGTAATTGTGGAGAGTGTGACGTCACCCACAGTGTTCAGCGTCGCTCAAATGAGGCTTGTGATGCTCACGGTGAAGGACGTGAATCTGGAGCTCTATGTTATGAACATGATTTTTTGACGGACAAAAGAATGAAAAAATAAATAAAAATGAGGACCATGTGGAGCAAGTTAATATGAATATTTTAAGACCAAAATTGCGAGGCTCACAGCAGCAGGTACAGAGAGAGGAGCCACAAGCTCCAAATGTAAATCATCGCGAGCACGTTACCTATGTCCACTCATATGTACACTCTATGGTCACTTATAGTGTTTGGCTCCAGCCAAATGAGGCTCACAAGGCTCGCAGTTATGCACAATCATTTTGAGCCGAGTTGCATATTTGGAACTGTAGACATTTGACCGTAGCAACCAAAGAGCCAAACCAGGAGTGGGTGTCTGTTGAGGGTAATGCCCCTTCCGACCTAAAGATGATACATTTAATCAACAAATACATGACTGCAAACAGAAGAGGTTATTACCTAACAACCTGAACAATGTAAATATCCTGGAGCTTGTCAGATCTTGTTTGTCTGTGTGCTGCTGGACAGCTCTGTGTGGGTTGGACATTACGAGCGAGTAATAGTCATGGTTAGGAAAAGAGTTCAGCCAGATCCCTCTTCAAATATAATGAATACGTAGAAAAAGTTCCATGTTTTTCTCCATGTTCTGCTCCATGTTTTTCTCCATGTTCTGCTCCATGTTCTCCAGGTCCATGCAGAGGTGGAAAGCACATGGAATGAGGAGGAGGTGTGGCGTGTGGAGATGTACGTGTCCTTTGGGGTTATGAGTCTGGGTCTGCTGTCTCTTCTTGCTGTTACGTCCCTGCCCTCTGTCCACAGCGCCCTCAACTGGAGGGAGTTCAGCTTCATACAGGTGACGCAGCACTGGCCATGTTCACAAGGCCCCACTGTAGGCTTATCTGCAAGATGAATTGTACTTTACTCAGTTACATTTAGTTCTACTCCTACTTGAGTAATATATTTGACAGCACTTTTACTTAAGTTCTTTAGTTGTCCTTCCTCTTTCCACTGTAACTCTACAAGTGACAAAAGCTTAAGTGACATTCTCATCATCATCATCATCGCTCCTTCAGATATGATTTTTTTTGTCTCATTTTGGGACACACCAGTGCTGTGACAGCAATGAAGAGACAAAACTAGAATGGCTCTCTGCTCTCTGACACAAACACTAGACTGTGAGCACTGACTACAGTTACTCAGTAGTTGTAGTAGTTTCCATACTTCAGTCATTTTTACTCTTACCTAAGTAGTAGTTCGCAAAGGCCGAGGATCTGCGCGGTTCTAGTAGTAGTAGAAGTACCTCAACCCTGCGACACCATTTAAATGCAAAACACGTGAGAGTGAGAGCAGAACCTTCTGGAGCTGTTCTGCTCCGAGTACAAACAAGAGGCGTCAGCCCAAACTCCAACACATGATGAGCTTCAGGAAGAAAATGAGTGCACTAAAATTCATTTACATAAAATAAATGTTGCTTTTGGGGCAACTATTGTTATGTGATTACTTGAGATTAATTAATTACAAAGCCTGTACTAATAGAGGACCACACAACTAATAATATTTTTAAGCAATAATACTGTTACATGGGCAGTGGTAGTGGTGGTAAATATCAGAAACACCCTAACATGCCCAAATCTGTCCTCTAGTGGTGGGGGCCTGTGATTTTTAGATTTTCTGAGGCTAAGGCATAATGTAATTCAAAGAGAGCCATGACCGATGTGTAATAGTCACCTCCACACCCTCTTCATAACCTCTGTGTGTTCTGTGTTGTCAGTCGACGCTGGGCTACATCGCTCTGCTCATAGCCACTCTGCACGGGCTGCTGTTCGGTTGGAGGAGGGCCTTCCAGTGGGACTTGTACCGCTTCTACCTGCCCCCCAGCTTCGTGCCCGCTCTGGCCCTGCCCGTGTGCGTGGTGCTGGGCAAACTGCTGCTGCTGCTGCCCTGCCTGGCCCGCAGGCTGCACCTGATCCGTAGGGGGCGGGACAGCCGACAGGATGGCCCCTCGCGCCTGGAGCCTGTGGGGGCCGCTGTGTCCCCAGAGAGGGTTACCATCATGTGAGGGGCCCCACTCTGAGAGGAGATAAGGGACATAAGGGGACTGTTCCAAGCTCCACATACAGATCCAGCAGGAAGAGGGACTTCATGGGAACACGCTGCTCAAGGTGAAGGCATTAAAGTGCCTCTGACAGGTTAGACTACTTGTGTTACTGAAACAGTTCAGATCACTATATTTAAGATTTTTGCAACAATATTCACACTTGTTTTCTCAATTTGGCCATTTTTAGGTTTAAAATTTTACTTCCTGTGTGGAAATTGTGGCATCACACTAGGCAATTCTTTAATCGTTTGCTAGCAAAACTCCTCTAATGTACACAGAAATGATTATCTGACAAATACAAATATACATAATACATACAATATACACATTATATACAAATAAGAAAACATCTTTATTTTGTTGAAATCATGTTTAGAGAATCAGAAAAAATGTTTTACATGTAAACTGTGCCAAACTTTTGGATAGAATTGTCCCTAGCGTAATGTCCTCCGAACGTTTGAACTCTCCACTTTCTGTGATTTCCAACATATCTTTCAACTTTTCTTCACAAATTGCTTTTTTATTGGTGTAAAATGATCTGTTATCTATCATTTATATTTACAATAGTTATAATCCTACCAAATTAAGTCAAACTCTGTCATAGCCACTTTAAAGGTGCACTATGTAATTATAAAGGTGGAGGCCTCCACGGGCTTCTCTATGGAGATTTTATTGTTTCACCTGGAATATTCCAGAGTATGGCATTAAACGTGTCCATCTTGCACTTATTCAAATACTGGTGTTTAAGGCCAAATATACCTGAAGGGGAGGTGCTTATCTCCATGGAGTTACTGCCCTAAATGTCATACTGTGGAAGATGCCAGCGTTTCCATGGAGACAAGCGGGTGACGAACCCTCCACCCACAGTTACAGAGTGAACCTTTTTTTTGTTTCGTTAAGGACCAAAACTTCTTTCAGATGAAGTGATGTCACTGACTGTGACTCTTTTGCAGCACTGTCAATACTGACAGCACAGTAGAACTTTGTTTTAGGCTGTTTTAGTCGACTAAATCCTTCCATAATTACCACTGGTTCCTTTCATTCATATCAGTGAAGTTTTCAGACCACAGTTTTAAAGTTTGTAAAGAAACACAAATACACTCAGATCTACAGTGAACAACATCAAAGGTCGTCTCTGAGTATATGATCAGTTACACTCCACACTATGTTTTGGTTATAAAGTACAAAATATCAGAATATAAGTGATAGATTGGTTGTTTTATATTACATCTGGAAGGTTGACAGTTGAATCCCAGCTTCAATCTGTATACCAAACACCTTTGAGTCCTTGGGCAAGACATTTCATTCACCTTGTATGTATGAATGTGGTAGATGAGCCATGCTTTTGTCAGGTTTGTTCCTGTTTGTCCCTGCCCCTGTCCCCGTCCCTGCCGCTCAGTGGTGTCCTCAGCTCCACAGTGGTGTTTCTGTCTCTGCCTGGTGAGTTTCAGTGCGCTCCCCTGTGTACACTGTGCCATAATGTTGTGCAATAAAGTTTAGATCTATAAAAACTCCATATGACTGCAGTTTGTACTTCTGCCCAGTATTTGACAGACAGTAACTGAGGAGAGTTGCTAAAGATAAAAAAAAAGTTTAATGAAAACATTTAAGAGCAATCACAACAACACTATTAAAACATCATCATACAGTAAAGCGCATATCTGCCACAGTCCCATGGTTGAATTCGTCCTCTAGGGTGAGCTAAGGAACTGGGTCTGTAAATTTCACTTGTTCAGAACCAGAGGTCCAGTGGCCACAGTGGTCACGTGTCCTCGCCCCTGGGCAGCAGCTGTAGTAGTTCCTCTGAGCTTGGTCTGTTCTGGGGCTGTGCGCTCCAGCAACGCCTCAACAGCGCACGGTAAACCTGCCCACGCGCTCCGCTGAAAACCGCGTGCCCGTGAAGCTGCGGCCGCATCTCGTGCGCCACTACGGCGTAAATGACGTACTGTCGGTCCCCCTCGTACGGCTGGTTTCGAGTCAGCAGTTGCCACAGCGTGATGGCGAATGAGAACACGTCCGCTTTGGCAGACACGGGCTCGCCTTTGAGCAGCTCCGGAGCGCGGTGCGTAAACGTGCCGCCTACGTGGCTCAGCTGTGGGCTCACGGCCGCAGCCTGTGACCCGGGCTCCAGCTTCAGGGAGCAACCGAAGTCCGCGATCTTGACCACATCGTCCTGGGACAGCAGCAGGTTCGCAGGTTTAATGTCCAAATGCAGCACATCGTGCGCGTGAAGGAAGTGGAGACCGTGCGTCACGTCCTCGGCGTAGCGCAAACAGCGATTCTCTTCCAGTGGACCAGTGCCGTAGATAATCTGCTGTAGGTCCGACACGCAGAGCTCCATCAGCACGCCCCCTAAACTGCCCTCGTACTCCGGCTCCGCGGGCACACATGTGCTGGCAGCGAGAACGCGCACAATGTTCCGGTGGCGCAGATGCGCCGCGTTCAGTTCGGCCCAGAAGCTGTGTCTTGAAGCCAGGCGGTTCTTAGTAGACCTGTTGACCCGTTTGAGTGCCACGCTCTGACCCAGGTACTCCGCTCTGAAGACCGAGCCGAAGCCTCCCGAGCCCACCGGTCCCACAGTCCGCAGCTCCGGCCACAGAATCACCGAGGACCAGGGCCGGGAGCAACGACCAGGGCGAGGAGCGGGGATGTGCAGGGTGCTGCCCTGTTTGAAGAGCGGGCTGCTGCAGACTCCCGTGCCAACGCTGGGGAACAGGTCTTTGGGCAGCAGCCTAGACACGGGGATGGGAGACGGCATGGCTCCAGTGCGGGCGCATCCACCCCGACCGCCGCCATTATAGCTCTAGATAAACACTGTAGCGACAACACAGCGACGCTCTGCGGGCGGAGGATGCACTACAGCAGCTGAGGTCAATGGGTTCAGTCTCACACAGCGGCCTCCGATCACCCCGCGTGTGTTCGTGCGCGTGCGTAAAGGACAGAGCCAGCACGTCTGAACGAACACAGACCAGCGCCACAGCCGCATCTGAACCAAGCTTCAGTCCGTGTCAGGTCCGGATCGGGCGCGGGTCTGAGCAGTGGGCTGTGGGCTCTGGGCTGGACAGGACTCAGCCTCAGTGTCATGTAGAGTGCGGACTCTTGTCTCAGAGGACAGTCCTGTGGGGCTGCAGCGGAGAGCCGGGCGGTTGTAGGCGGATTTTTGATATTCACTGGGTTAATGTGGTGACATGTCACAAACCACACCACACCAGAGCTTCATCTTTCACTTTATTGAACATATACAAACACTAAAGTTGACAACTGCAGCTCCCCTTTTTATAGCAGCAAGGTATGGAAATCAACTCAGCGTTGCCAAACAATAAATAATCTGCCTCTTTGGATGATGTCATGTTACAAAGACACAAGCCGCAGCTCTATTTCACTTTACACAACCTCCAAACAGAGTGTACACGACGACTACACAACCCAACAGTGTGTGTGTCTGGACTAACATTAGGACTGTGTTATACAAATCAAACCAATGTGTCTGGAATGCAACACTAGTGACTGCGGAGTGCTCCGAGGGGTACATCTGACCCCTACAGTGTGCTCCTCTGAGGGGTACATCTGACCCCCAACAGAGCTAATCGGAGGGGTACATCTGACCCCTCACAGTGCTTATCTGAGGGGTACATCTGACCCCTCACAGTGCTCATCTGAGGGGTACATCTGACCCCTCACAGTGCTCATCTGAGGGGTACATCTGACCACTGACAGCGTGGAGTGACTTGTGGAGTTCACTTGGATAAAGGTAAAAATTCAGGATGCACATAAATGGTGCTAAGGCACTGTTACAGGATAATACTATGACGAGAAACAGTCTCATTGTTTTTCTCAGTTGCATACAGTATATTGCATACAGTATATTGCATATATGTTCACTGTGACTGGTTCCGTTTACTTGTTATTGAGATCATGATGGAGGTTGACCCATAACAGGACAGGGTGGGGAAAAGTAGTGGCCGTGAATCATCATAGAACCATGTACCAATACAACATCAACTACTACTACAACTACTACAATTGTATACTGTCAGTGGTCAGAGTGACCTCCAGAACCAAGCAGCATGAGGCTACAAGAATACAGGCATAGAGTGTCCAAAATCACAGTATGATGTCAGGATGCAGAGGACAGAAAGATGGATAGAGAGACCAGGAGAGAGAGGAAGAGAGAGAAAGAGATGGGACTTAGCACCTTGAGGAGAGTCAGTGTGTTATAGCAGCTATAGTTCAGTCCAAACATTCAGATTCACTGTACAAACATGAGAAACACTCAACATGACAGATGTTCCGACAGTTCCTTTACATCCAGTGCCCCCCCAACAGTAACCCCGCCCTGACCAGCGTTTGTTTTGCATTGTGGGGACTTTCTGACCCCAAACGCCAATTTACTCAACAAACTTTGCATACAGATTCAGCAAAAACATTCAAAGATCATTTGGGGGGTACTTTGTTCTAATTTGTCGGTGGCGTGTATCAGTGGAGGGCGCTGTATGACCTCACTGAAATTTGTTTCAGTCACATTCAATTTGACCATAGACAATAGACTGCACATTAAACACCTCACTTTTTAAACACTGGGAGCAGTCGAGTCCTTGTACCCAATTTTTCCCATGTTCCCATGAGAAAAATGTGTGTTGCCCCAGTACACATACTGTAGAAGCAGCTCTTGAGGTCAAAATATCTGTGTTTTACTGTCAGATAGTCAGGATGTTTGTGTTAGAATGCTAGTTGATGTTCTGTTCTTTGCAAAACTCCGCTCTGGTCTCAGAGAGTTGAAAAGCTCTTAAAAGTTCACGGTGAATAATCTGGATGCTTGGAATGCATACGGTAAGTGAAGAATAACTTTGGACCACTGCAAACCATTTAAAACAAACTAGTAGAGTAAAAATAAGGTACAGAGCTTTTAAAAATAGACTAAAACCAGAACTGCAAAATGAATCCAAGAATCCCATGCACTTCAGAACACGTTTGTGGAGGTCAGTAATATGCAGTCTATGGTCTGTAAATACTGATGATAGAGGAAGCTGTGTTCTGTCAGCCGATCACTAAATTAGCATAAACATCTCCAATCTTCAAATCCAAAGTCATGATTATTGTTTTGTCAGGGATTCAAAATGGCCGACGATCAGAGCGGTCACAGCGGCAGAATCCAGCTTCCCTCCCAAACACATGTGCAAGTAAAGCAAAAACACTGTCCACATTGTACCTGCAAAAATAAACGTCTTTATAAAGTATTGTATTTACACGGTATTGTTCTCTTAAAAAAAGCTAAATATATCTTCTACACATTTGTAATAAAGATTTGAAAACGTATTGGAGAAAAATAAAGGCATTGGGTTTACCAAAAGTGCTATGATTACAACAACGAACAATAAAAACACACTCCCACATGTAAAAACCTTCACAAAAATGTTGGGACATTCACTGATAAAATCCTTGTGTTTGTGGAGAGCGCCATGAGCACAGGCGCTGCATGTGAAATGTACAATAATAATAACACGGCATAGATACATTCTGAGCTCTGGAGGATAAACTGATGGTGCAAAGAGGAGCTAAGTGCTGATGGCAGCTCTACAGGGGAGAGCTCTGCAGAGGTGGGCCACACCTCGTCTCTACAAGATCATATCAAGTTATGTCACTAGTTTAATTAAAGGCGTACTATGGAACTTTTCTGTGTGCCACACGCTTGTCTACATGAACATGTTATTGCTCTGCTGAAAATGTTCCACAGTCTGGCATTAAATGTATTTATCTTTTGTCAATATGGCCCACCTCTACTCTGTCCACAAGGAACAAGGCCCTGGCACACATTGGCATGGAACATATGTGTGTGCGTGTGTGTGTGAATGTGTGTGCATAAGACACATGCACACATGACTCACGTGTGTGTATGTGTGTGTGTGTGTGTGTGTGTGTGTGTGTGAGTGTGTGTGCATAAGACACACACACGACTCACATATTTGTGTGTGTGTATAGAACACACACTACTCTCGTGTATGTGCATATGTGTGTGTGTATAGAAAACACACTACACGTGTGTGTGTGCATAGGGCAGAGTCTGTTTGATGGAGCTTATAAGGTAAAACCAGCTTGAGTTGAATGGTTCATTATTAATGCTCATGTATGTTTTATACTGACAAGGTGCTGCACTTTGCTTCAAAATACACAATTTGTTTGTTTTTGAACATAAAAAGTATAGCTTTTTGTGTAGTAACAATCGCTCTGAATGGGCTTAAGCTTATAGTAAATCTCTCAGTATTGTGTACCTAAAGGTGAGTCAGGTCGGGTGTATACACCTCCCATACACACAGGAGGCGCTATTGCACTGGAGACACTAAAGACCCCAGCACAGTCCTGTCGAAGTGTGGCACATGGAACAGAAGATATATGTTAAACTACTGTAAATGCTCCAAACACACACACCACCACAGAACAGGTGATGCCACAAGTCTAAAGTGCTATATATAAAAGATAAGTACTGTTAAAGAGGAGTGAAGGCACGCCCCAGCGTGAGAGGAGAGAGCACCTGCCCGACACACAGTCCACACCTCCACACCGACAACGAGCTCTCACACACCTCACATAGGGCTCTAAAGGCACTGCTGGGGACAAAGAGGAGGGCTCTAAAGGCACTGCTGGGGACAAGGAGGAGGGCCCTAAAGGCACTGCTGGGGACAAAGAGGAGGGCCCTAAAGGCATTGCTGGGGACAAGGAGGAGGGCCCTAAAGGCACTGCTGGGGACAGGAGAGAGGGCCCTAAAGGCACTGCTGGGGACAGGAGAGAGGGCCCTAAAGGCACTGTTGATGGTACATTTAATCACAGTGTTACCAGGGACCCAGCACTCAGGCACCAGAGCCAGAGAGAGTTCCCTCTGCTCCTGAGGCTAGCTCCCTCTGCAGTGGACTAAAGGTACTTACACCAGTGAGAAGTTGATGTAATCCTATTGGTTGCTAATTTTAACATAGTTTTGTAAACTATTTTATTCTGGGTTGACTTTTAATGCATATTATTGTAATTATTATCTTTGTTGTATTAAATTATACTAAGCATTTTTACTCTGAGGCGTGGACCCTGTTTGTAGGAGAATGGGCTCTGGTCCCTCTCTGGTCCCTCTCTGGTCCCTCTCTGGTCCCTCTCTGGTTCCTCTCTGGTCCTTCTCTGATCACTGGAAGGCCTGGTGGAAGCGGGGCAGGGTGGGAGCACTGCTCAGGCTGGACATAAAGGGGGGGAGCTGCAGGGAGCTGTCTGCAGACTCCGGGGCGTCCTCCAGAGGCAGGGGGTCCTCACCGGGCCGGTAGCCCCCAGAGGCCTCCCCGCTGCCCCCTGCCTGAGCGCTGTACGCTGGTCCGTTCAGAGGCAGGAAGTTGAAGAGTTGGGAGAAATCTATCAGCGAAGAAGCTAGCGACTCGCCTGTCATGGCTGCTGTAGGGGTGGACATTTTGGACTCTTGGTCGGGGTCATCTAGCTCCAGTTTGGAGGAGGGGGGCAGTGGGGGCTCTGGGGCAGAGGAGGAGGAGGGTAAGTCCATCAGGTAGGTGTCCAAGTCTCCCTTTAGGGCGTGCTCCTGCGAGGAGCCGCTGAATGAGGTAAAACCCAGAGGGTACTTGAGAGAGAAAGGCTGTGTGGTGAGGGGGTAAGGCTCTGTGTCCAGGCTGTGCCCGGGGAAAGCGCTGTGAGGCTGGGCTCGTGTGGAGGTGCCCGCTGGGTCGTACACCCCGGCCTCCAGGAGGTCGGTGGGTTCGCTCTTCACCCGCAGCAGCTCGCGCCCGTGGCTCTTCTTCACGTGGCGGGTGAGGTGGTCCTTCCGGCCAAAGCGCTGGGCGCAGTACTGACACAGGAAGTCCTTGCGGCCCGTGTGCACCACCATGTGGCGGCGCACGTCCTTGCGTGTGTAGAAGCGGCGCTCGCAGTGCTCACAGCGGTGCTTCTTCTCCTTGGTGCCAGAGGAGGACTTGCCCGCGTGGCTCTTGAGGTGCTCCAGGAGCAGGCTGGTGGAGGGCAGGCTCTGTAGACACACCTGGCAGGTCAGGTCCCCGCTGTGGGCGGCGTGCAGGGCCAGGTGACGCTTGAAGCCCAGCTTGGTGTTGTAGCTCTTGCCGCACTGCTGGCAGCAGAAGGCCTCCTTGTTGGGGTCGTGGGTGTGCAGGTGGTTCTTCAGGTGGTCTTTGCGATGGAACATCTTCTCACAGTACGAACACTTGTGGTTTTTCTCTGGAGAGTGCGTCGCCATATGCCTGCACACATAGAGCCTGTCACACTAATGCACTGTTTGAGTTACACATATGTTAGACACACACTGTGTGTCATGGACATAAGTACATTAGTCTTACATAACGTCTTTACAGATGCTCCAATTCCCTTTATAATTTGGTGCATTTTTCATTCACTCCACACTTGGTGGTGGTGAGGTTCTATTGTAGCCACAGCTGCTCTGGGACAGCCTGATGAGGCTACCAATCTGCACCATCAGCCCCTCGGACCACCACCAACACTCACACCACATTCATCAGGTATTAGAAAGAGCTAAAGGCAGTGTGGAGCCAAAGGTCAGGTGAGATCTGAGTGTGTCATGCTAAAGCCAGTGTATCGTCTCAGTGTTGTGTGCTTTACCGGAGCAGCTTGTACTTGGACACAAAGGCCTTGGAACAGTCGGGCTGGGAGCAGCCGAAGGGTCTCTCCCCGGTGTGGGAGTATGAGTGCACCTTGAGCTTCTCCAGGCTGTTGAAGGCCTTCTGGCACTGCTGGCAGCAGAAGTTCTTCTTGGGCTTGCCCTCTGCTCTCCTGCGCCTCCCGCTGGTCACCTCCAGGACCTGCTCTCGGGGGGCCTGGGGTCCGGTGGCCATGGTCTCTACAGGAGAGGGGGGCGGAGCAATCTGTCCAGTTTGATTGAGTCAGACCGGCCCACACCCACAGGCCTACAACACAAGCACAGCAGAGGAGCATTTTCAATGTTCTACTGTAACAAACAAACTCTGCACATCCACCAGGGGGTGCCTGCACTCACTGAGTCTGTCTGATAGACAAGAGGAGCACAGGTAAAGGGCCCATGTGACCGGGCTGCTCCACACAGGGACCACAGTGCAAAAAACATCATCTCATGAGTGTCTCAGAAGAGTCTAAAGTGGCACGTTACACACACGTTACACTTAGGCTGCACATGCTTCAGGCCTGTGCGAGGGTGAGACTGCAGCTCTATGGTCCAACACAAATAAATACATTGATTTGTTTCACTCTGTTCTAAACATCACTTTGGGGAGAAGGACCCCTCCTAAAGGCAGTGTATCAGCCCACAGTGTGTGTAATGACATGGTTGACTTTGGCTGTTGCTACTCTGTGGATGTCAAATAGGTGATTCTAATCTAGGCCTGTAGGCGGTGTGTGGTGCAGGAGGAACTCTCCAAATCAGAGTGTTCGCATCGCCACAACAACTGCAACTGCAGCATTTATTCAGATGTGATGGGAGTCAAACGGGCCTAGTGTGTTTGGTGAAAGTGCATCTGCTCTTCCTCACAGCCCGTCTCCACAGTCAGAGTTCTACCACAGCATCACCCCAGAGGAGCCCGCAGACAGTGTACCTGCCACCCGGCTCCGAACACTTCACAAGTCCATAATTATCGCAGCAATCTCTGCTTCCATTTTGATGTTTGACGACAGTAGCCCACCGCAGCATGTGTGTGTCATGTGCGGGACTGTGGCTCCATGTGCGGTGCGCTGCTACAGCTCACCGCGGCTGCCTCAAACCCGCTTCAATCGAGATGACACCGTGCGCTAAAGTGCACCCGAACCCCGGCCAAAGCCCGAACCAAAGCCCGAGCCAGAGCCCGTGTCATGCCGCGGAGCCGTGCGGAGCTCCGGTGTCGTGCGCCGCAGTGCCCCCGCCATGCCGTTGTTACTGCGCTCTATTCCAAATAAACTTGTGTCCAACTTTCCCCGCTGCCTCTGCTCCACCGAGTGTCAGCAGACCCCCGCAGTCCCGACAGCACCTTTTTCCCAAGGACTGGTGCGGTCCACGCGCTTTGTCACTGCTCGCAAACTCAGTCCTGATTAACACTAACTTTTCCCCCAGCTCACCCCTCTCTCCTAATTGAAATAACCCCGATATTTTAATTCAAATACAACGTAACCGCTCACTTAATTTACGTCAAACTTACCCCGGATGCTTTAACATCGTTTCGGTAGAGTTTTTCTGGACTTTCAACTATTTTCCGAATTTTTAATAATTTTTTTCTCATATTTTTTGCGAGACGCGGCGGGCCTGAAAATTGTTTGCTTTCCCCTCTTTCGAGCAGCCATTGTGTATGCGCTGCGGTGCAGCCCAACTACCCTTAGCCACGCCCCCTGCTCGCGCTGGCAGAATGGATCGGCCGGAGGGACGCCCGCGCTCATTGGCTGTGTGGACATGTTGAGTCCCTCTGTCCCCAAATTCTGCTCACAAAACAGAGTATTTTTAGAGGAATAGGACTCAGAAGGTCTTTATGTCTCTGCCTGAGTGCGTTTGACCCACCCCCTGGGCCAGGCAGGTCTCCAACCCACATCCTGGTCAGGTCCTAGTTCACACACCGTGGGCAGGAGATGCAGATGTGCAGATGAGCACATGTCCAATCACATGTGTGCATCATGCAGAAGGAAGGTTATAACTAGGTGTGAACAAAGACTGTTTGTTTTATTGTTGTGTGTCTTTGAGTTTGACTCTCTCTGGGTTGTTTTGTCATTTTGTGATTATTTCTCACCACCAACAAATGTGAGTGAATGAACAGCCTAAAACACCAAACTGTGAGATGAAGCTCACTTAAAGACACGAGTCAAGAAAACGCTTTATGAGACAAATGGCAACACTGCAATTCAGATGGAGACCTGCACAGCACCAGCACCACAGTGTACACATGTGTCCACACACATCTACCTCACACTGCATCTCTGTGAACAACTTTCACTGTTCCATGTGTGTGTGTGTGTGTGTGTGTGTGTGTGTGTGTGTGTGTGTACGCGCGCGCAGGAGATGACTGACAGCTCAAGCGCACCAATGAAAGCAGGAGAAAGCCTCCCCAGCGCGTCTCTGCGTCCCTCTAGTCGATACATTCTGACAACAACTTTACCAATTTAGCCTGGTCATAAGAGTGCTGTGCTGAACCTGTGCGCGTACCGTCCACAGACAAATGGACGCCTAAATTACCAGATATTCTACCGACAGTTCTTGTTTCCTCCGTTCATACCGCAAAAACTCTAAAATAAGCACGAACTGGAAAAAAACCCGATTGGCTGCGGGACTTGTTGCGCTACTGCAGGCGGAGTGGGGAGCGCTCCTATTGGTCCGTGCGCGTGTCAGTCCGCGGCTGTTCCTGGTGCGCTGTTTACACCGGAGTTATTACGGTGTAGGGAGCAGCATGCTAAAACACGGCCAGCCCGCACTTCTGCACGGCTCACGGGAGGTACGCGTTACCAGCAGGCTCCAGAAGAGCCCGAGTTACTCTGTTATGATCTTCTCATGTCGTTTCCTCATCACACACACCTGGAGTTGTGTTTTGTGTCATTCACACTTTTCACACACTAACCCTGCACATTTAGGCTGAGTTCTGCTCTCAAACTGAAAACACCCTGTTCCACCTTGTGATGTCACATGGTTATAGGCCTATAGTAAGTGCTCTACTGTGTTTTTAAACTCCACACACCGTCACTAGAATCCTTTGGATGATCTCAGCTTTATAATTGCCAATCTCTACTGAACTAAGGGTTAAAGGAGCTGTTCATGATCTGAAGGTGGAGCAGAGCACTTGGAGCTTTGGAGATGTAGACAGACTAATAAAAAAGAGTTACACAAACATGTGTGAATGAAACAAAACACAGGAGATAACAGCATTATAACATGACCTACATCTTAAAAGAATCAATTTGGTGTAATACCTTTAACAGAACTGAAACTATGATAAATATTAACCACAAAGATGAGAGAGGAGCAGAAGACAGGAGCAGAAGAGAGGAGCAGAAGAGAGGAACAGATGAGAGGAGCAGAGGAGAGAGGAACAGATGAGAGGAGCAGAGGAGAGAGGAACAGATGAGAGGAGCAGAGGAGAGGAACAGATGAGAGGAGCAGAGGAGAGAGGAACAGATGAGAGGAGCAGAGGAGAGAGGAACAGATGAGAGGAGAGAGGAGCAGATCAGAGGAGCAGATCAGAGGAGCAGAGGTAGAAGAACACTGAGCTGAGGGTGAATGGGACAGACTTTCCACAAATGCTGGTTCTGATCAACATGGGCCTACTGTTGTTTCAGATGACATTACAACATTCTATAGGCCAATATTATTTAATACTGATGTGGACAGATGAAATTAATATTGCTGAAGTGCAGATTCTTGTGGTAATATGAAAAATATGAGAAATGATCAGGTTCCATATGTGAGAATTTACCTTTCTGTGTGAAATATGGTCAACAGGAAACTCTGACTCTTGTCCTGATCTGGACATATGAGAGTTGTGACAATACGAACTCCTCACTGTGGCCCAAATACAGTTGGATTATAATACGTGGTGTCTGCTCCTGAGCCCTCACCCAGGTCTCCTCTGTGGTTTCCTTCACTTGCTTCCTCACAGCTTTGACACCACTTAATCTGGCACATTTGATTGGCAGCTGAAAAATGGAGGATCAAGGAGAGAAGTCGAAGAGAAGGAAGCGAGGGCGAGAGAAATGAGATGCCCCCATAGTACACTGACCCCGGGGTCACCATACCCCCCCCCCCCCCCCCCATAGGATTTGGACTCCCTTTAATTTTTCTTTAGTAGTTACTTATCTGATCATTATTTCTTATGTAATTTACTTTTATGATATATTACTACATATTCACTTTCTTTTAAAGTATTTTAAAGAATGTTTTGATGGAGAACGACTTGGTATTTTGTGTAAATGCAACGTATTGTTAAAATTGCATATACACAATCTTGTCACTTTTTATATTGTATTTGACATTGTTCTGATTTTTAGTTTGCTCTGTTCAGATAATCCTTAATCATAATGTCAATTTAGGCAATGGTTCGTAAAAATAACGACCTTGAATTTAGTCATGTTGGGTTATTAAATCTTCTCATATCCCCTGTTGAACTACTTAATTGATCAGCCCTGTCTATTTTAACAAGATTCCAAATCTTTATACATCACTTTGATTACCGAACTAATTAATAACAACTTATCTCATGTTCAGTCAAATATGTTTAAACAACTAAGTCATTTGTAACATTCAAAAGTTATAATCAACATAAAAAATGCATCTGAGTTCTTCAAAAAACACTTTTAAATATGTCACTATGTTTTAATTTGCAGATATAATATTAATATTCAATGTTTTTCTATAGAATTCAAGTTGTTTATTAATAAAATATAGATTTTCATAGGGGGATCAATATACCAAAATAGGATTCTGACCCTGGGGTCAAAATACTATATGTTATGTTGACCCCAGGGTCACCTCACCGTGGGGTCAACATCCTACACCACATCCCTACTCCTCTCTCTTCGCTCTCCTTTCTCCTCCTCATGTCTTGTCTCCATCTGTATGTCTGTGTGTCTATGTGTCTTAAAAGCAGTTAAAGCTCAACAGTTGTAGCTCAGAAAAGGAGCTGGATGTCCAGAGATGAAAAAAAATCACCATCACAAATCACAATGAGAAGATCACAAACAGTTTTTGAAGTACCATCATATCCTTCTCAAATAACGAAACCTCCTGTGTTCTTCTGCTTCAGAGCTGCTAACCGTGTACTTTAGATCTGAACATGTTCTGAAATGTGACTGTTGGATTTTGGGTTAGCATTTATTCTGTGTGTAACAATACAAACACTAACATTGTTTTACAGTAAAGATCAGCCCAGACCCTTTCCTAATCTGAACCATTACAGACCGGTGCCTAATCTTCACCAGGTGGAGTCTGGTTAAGATTGCACCACACACAGAAAAACTACTGACAGGCCTATGCACTAGGACATGTTCACTATTGTGCTCTGTGGTGACAGAATAACTTTAGGTGAAAACACTTCTTAAACGGCCCATATTATGCATATTTTCTGATCTGTGTTGCTATGTAGTGGTGTTTTGTTTCATTCACACATGTTTAACATACACACCCTGCAACTCTTAAACACTACACCTTGTGATGTCATGTGGTAAAACAGGAAGTGCTCCACTGTGCTTTTAAACTTTATACACCGTCGCTAGAATCATTTCAGTGATTTCACTCCTGGAATTGCAAATCTCTACTGCACAAAAGGAAAAAAGTAGGCCTGACTGTTAACTTGAAAACTACCACTTCATGACATCACAAGGTGTAACAGAGCATTTTGAGCTTTGGAGATGTAGACAGACTCATAATAAAGGGTTAGTCAAACATGTGGAGTTCTGCAGAGACTGTTGGAGGTGAAACTAAAGCTAATGCAGCTCCATGTTTAATCACAGAGTTAACAGTCTGTGTCTCCAGGCTGCAGTGGCTGCTCCCGGGCCGCAGGGGGCGCTGTGTGGTCGTGTGTGAGTCCCGGTGCCTCCGGGGTCATCTCAGTTCAGCTGCCCTGTACACAGCGTCCTGCACCCGGCTCCTGTCCCCGAGCCCCTCCGTGCGCCCAGACCCGCGCTCAACGCTCTATTCCCGGCTACATGTGGCGGAGCTCCCCGGGCCGGACTCCCACACGCACACACCGACACAGGCGGGACCAGAGCGGGACCAGAGCGGGACAGAGCGGGACAGAGCTCCGGGAAACGGGCTTTAGCTCCGCGGCTAATGTTGTGATCCGAGCCGAGCTGCAGCTGAAGGGCGCAGGGACAGAGGGTATGTGCCGCATGTGCCGCATGTGCCGCATGTGCCGCATGACCAGCAGCCCGGACACTAACGCTCCGTTTACGGGAATATTCTTCACATGTTGTGTTGTTACTAGTGAAGTGTGCGGCTCTTTGTGGAGCCTCTGAGCTACATGAGGATAATCCACAGTCTCTGGTCTGATAGACTTTACAGTCTGCGCGTTACTCAACACTAATGGCCTGGTGACTTCTGTGTGATCATGGGCATATTATAAAACAAACTGTCACTCTTCTTTATGTCATGGCTCTAGAATCACCGTGACACCTCCTCTGTCTGAAGAGTGTGTCTAGGAAACATGTTTCCTCTGGTTAAACGGACCTGTTTCCTGCTGTGTGTCTGTGCCACCATCACACTCTGCCCAAAAATAACGTGCTTCACAGACTCTTGTTAGATTTTATTTTATTTTTTTTACATATTGAGAGAGGGTAAAACACATTTTCAAATTTGTTTTATGATTATTGACATCATGTCCAAACAGCAGTGAAACAGTCAATATTCCATTGTGAGACTAGCTTTATAGAATGAAAATGTCTAAAATAATTTAGTATTTCTTTGAAATTTATTGTGACCTGTGAAATCACAGCATCAATTATCTTGACACGTTGGTAATGTTGTGTTCTCACACACGTATGTCTTTGAACACATAGGCTTAAGTTCTGTACAACTGCCAGTCTAATCTTAATATATGTATATGTATAATATTATACAGAAATATTGCTAATCAATCTTTTTCCATGATTGTGTCTATGCAGATTTTATTTCCTGTGTCTCTTCTGTCTCAGACCCAGATGGATAAAAATATCAGAAAAGTGCGGAATGAAGACATAAACCCGTGTCTGGAGGTGTGTACACTCTTCTTCACTCTGCTCCGTAGTGAGAGTGTGTCCTCTAATGTCCCTCTGCTGTGTTTAGGAGACTGACGCCTCCCGCATGTGTATGGAGCATCACAACTATGAGAGGGACAGGTGCGGCGCGTACTTTCAGAACTACAAGAACTGCAGAAAGTACTGGGTAAGTAACTACAAACATAATTTTGATACTAAGGACTAGACTTGATACTCAGTGCTGATTCTGATACTACGGTCATAATAAAAAACACTTTATTTAGACAATATGTGCCCTTTTCCTGTTTGGCTCTAGACATTAAAACACTGAGCTGATGATCTTTTTATTAATACATATTATGAGGGGGACTTATGCAAAGTTTCTTTTTTTTTGTCTTCTACCATGTTATAACATGGGCCCTCATCAAAAACATGCCTGAAGAGGTTTTACATGTCATCCATGGATGTCTGTCCTGTCCTCCTTATTATCCACCCACAGGCTTACATCATGCTCCATAAATATACAAGAACATGGCAGAAATCTGCACACAGCAGCTTCACAAACCTGATGAAATGTGCAGAAGTTTCATTAACAGGATGCACGCTGATTGTGTTGTGATAGCGTTCTAAAGGGGGAATGTCTTAGTGCGAAGAGCAAAGGGAGGAAAGACTCAGTGAAACGAAACGAAAGTGAAACTTACAAAACATTTTAACAAATACAGAATTTTCAATACAATAAATGTGTGTTGGTAATTAATACCCCATAGAGGTAAATACTCTCTCTTTATTATGAGTGAGTTGGCTTTTGACCTCGTTTCCATGGAAACAATATTAATCTAACTTCCCACTTCTCCATCGAACAGTATAGAATGTGATGTCATCTGAAACACAGCAATACGTGGTGCTCCACAGTGACTGCCCACCTCTTGGTTTTTGGAGTAAATGCCTCATCTGTGTATCCCCTAGGCAATAGAAAAGGATATCACTATTACTTTTGGAAGTTTGTTTGTAGCTAATCGGCTATTTGGTAACTAATGAGGGAATGTTGAGCTCCAGTCCTCACAATATTTCACTGTGTTCAAAGTTGAACTAACCAGTCATGCACTAGTTTGACTATGTATGTGTGAGTATGGGGTTTTAATAGCATTATGTACTGGGCACATCCTAGTCATGTTTTATTGGCAAATTAGCTGCTGTGCTCCTCTTTAGTCCTCCTGACCCCACCCTCCTCCTTTCTCTTTTGCCATGTTTACATGAGAGCTTTAATTCCAAATAAAAATAATTTAATTCTGAATAAAAATGAATTCCGCTTTTTAAAAGTCCATGTAAACACTTAATTCCTAATGAAAATGATTATTTCGAATTAAACTTAATTCTGAAGTGTCTGGTTTATTCAGATTTTAAAACTGAATTAATTTATTCCTGGATCATGTAAATGTTTATTCTTCTTAAAATAATTCTAGTGGTTCAGTTCATGCTCATTGTGTCGCTCTTCTGACGCGATCTGGACAATCCGGCTCCACCTGTCCTGGCTTGGGACTTTGATCCACGTCTCTTTGGATTTGTGAGCGGGATGTGGGAGTGGGCTGAGGTAGAGCAGCCGATGACTCAGTTTGTCGTCTTCCTCCCTTCTCCGACACTCTTCCCTTCTCCTCCTCAGCTGACCGACATAAAGTGTGATGAGACAATTCTCCAGCTGCTGCTTCATTATCATCAAAAACACTGCTGAAAAACTTTGTATTATGTTTGTGTCTGTAGCGTAATGACAAACCGAGATGACAGAAAAGCCGGTCGCAGATGAAGCGTGTGTTTTCTTCTGGTAGCCATAAATACGCTTACGCATAAATACTGCCCTGTCAGAACCCTTCTAAATTAAATAAATGCAATTTAATTTGTTTTCCATGTAAACCTCACTCATGTAAACCACTCTCCCCTTTAGTCCTCCAGGTAGTGCCCAGTTTAGCAGCTCTATTTGAAATGCGGTTGTGGGTGGATTTTAGGTGTTTAGTCCCATTTTAATGAACGTGTGTGTTTTTTCTCAGCATAACATCATGGTTCAGAGGCGGAGAGAAGGAGTCAAGCCGGAGATGCCCACAGCGGCTGAGAGGCAGGAGATGCTGGCTGCACTGGGGGGGAGAAAGCCCTACTGACCCACAGCTCTGCAGAGGCTCTGTACACTTTCTAAAGGACATGTGTCTGTACTGTGGACTGATGCTTCACCACAGCCACTCTATTGCTTTACTGAATTCTGATTGTTTTTGTTTCACTTTAAATTAAAATGTTGAAAAGGTGTTTTTGTGTGTGTGGGTGTGTGTGTGTACTGGATGGTCATGGGTTGTGTAACTTGTTCTGAATAAAGCTGTAGGGACACACCAGTGCTCAAATTTTGTTCTTTAAGGACAGTGCACAAAGGGCTATTTTCTGATGTATATTATAATGTTTCCACATCACAAACATACTTGGAGTTTTGTGTAGTATAGGTCCTGTGTATGCACCTGGTGGTTCTCAGTTGATCACAAATGAATTGGTAAAACAGAAGACATAGACTGTAAACACATAGAACTACTCCAAGTGCATACAGAGTTCACAGATTTGACTGCACATGAACAGAAGCTGTCAGTCTTTATTGTCTGATAGCGCCTCCCAGAGGACAGCTCGACCTACAAACAGATGAGCTGGACGAGAGGGGTCCAGGATAGATGTAGGTTTGAAGCAAATTTTGCATCTTCAGAGGCCCCACGCAACAGACCTGCATAGAAATGACAAAAAGGTATGGGATTAGATCAATTCCTCCAAATCGGCATATCACTCTATCAACCCACTCTACATCAACCCACAGTAACATTACAGGTAGGCCTAAATGTAGGCTTAGTGTTTTCAGATTCTAGAATGTCTCATATTCTCAAGAGACAAACTTCACTATTGATTACATTGTACTTTGTCATTAAATATCATGTAATAATGTTTTCATGCTGTGATGTCATCTTGAAATCCAGCAATAGGCCAGACACACACACATATACACACACACACACAAGCCCTGTGTCCCCTGTCCCAGCAGATTTATCCAAAACCATTGATTTGTTTCAGCTTTATAATAATAATAATAATAATAATAATAATAATAATGATAATAAATTTTATTTATATTGCACTTTACATAAAATAATCTCAAAGTGCTACAGGTAAAAACAATGAGTAAAAAAGTGCATCAGCAAACAGTGGCTCAAGCTAAAACCATTGCAGGAATTAATAAGATAAAACAAGAATAAAATACAATTAACAAAAGGCTTTAGTAAAAAGGTATGTTTTAAGATTTTGTTTAAAAACAGAAACAGGCTGTGGGGCTCTCAAGTGGTCAGGGAGAGCATTCCAAAGCCTTGGAGCAGCAGAGGAGAAGGCCCGATCACCCATGGTGCAAAGTTTGGTTGTGGGGGGTTGGAGAGTGTTGGTGGCTGCAGAGCGGAGGGTGCGTAAGGAGGTCTGGGGAGTGAGGAGTTCCTTAAGGTACTGGGGGGAGTGACCGTGGATGCACTGGTGAATGAGGAGGGAGACCTTATACTCAATCCTGAGTGTGATAGGGAGCCAGTGAAGGGATTTCAGGATGGGGGTGATGTGGTCAAATTTTCGCACTCTCATCAGGATTCTGGATGTATTGCAGTCTCTGGATGCTCCTGCCAGGTATCCCGATGAGGAATGCGTTACAGTAGTCCAACCTGGAGGAGATAAAGGCGTGGACGAGCTTCTCTGCATCTGCCAGGGAGAGAGCTGGACGGAGTTTTGCGATGTTCCTGACAGTGTTGTGCAAGTTCACAGTTTTCATGAACTAGTTCAAAGTTCAGTTCACACTTGTTCAAAGTGAATAGTTCACGTTCATAGTTCACAATTTTAATTTTGAACTAGTTCAAAGTTCAGTTCATTTTATATTTAGATGAGATCTGTAAATGAAAGGCTGCTTTTATTTTTCAAACTGACTTCTAGTTTACAACAACTTTACAAGATACACTGTTGGACAAGTGACTTTAAAACTGTAATGTGTTATTTATGACTTGTTACTGTCATTTCAAAGTCATTTGTTACATTACAATATTACTGTATTTAAAATGTAAAACATTACATGACTATTGCAGCACTTTTAATTTACTCTCACCAAAAGAACTGTTAAGATGCTGAACTTTTGCGCCGTATATGGACTGAACCAGGACTAAACCAGGACTAAACCAGGTCTAAACCAGGTCTAAACCAGGTCTAAACCAGGTCTAAACCAGGACTAAACCAGGTCTAAACCAGGACTAAACCAGAACTGAACCAGGTGTAAACCAGGACTAAACCAGGTCTATACCAGAACTGAACCAGGACTAAACCAGAACTGAACCAGGTCTAAACCAGGACTAAACCAGGTCTAAACCAGAACTGAAGCAGGACTAAACCAGAACTGAACCAGGTCTAAACCAGGACTAAACCAGGTCTAAACCAGAACTGAACCAGGGCTAAACCAGAACTGAACCAGGACTGAACTAGGTCTAAACCAGGAATAAACCAAGACTAAACCAGGACCGAACCAGAATTGAACCAGGTCTAAACCAGGACTGAACCAGGACTGAACCAGGACTAAACCAGAACTAAACCAGAACTGAACCAGGAATAAACCAGGTCTAAACCAGAACTGAACCAGGACTAAACCAAGACTAAACCAGGACCAAACCAGGACTAATCCTGGACTAGAACTTGGAATCTAGGACCGCCCCTGAGAGAACCCCGAGTGCGATCGAGCGTCAGCTGCGTTTAGTTCGGTGGAGCGCGGACTTCTGCGTCGGTCCTTTCGCTCAGGATCACGGTCTACGCGGGCGCACCTCCGGTGTTTCACCGCTGCTGATATCGCGGTGATTTTAGCAAATTTGTATGAAGAAAAACGAAAAACCCACCATTTCAATCCAGGTTAAAAAAGCATTGTGACGCGCGTTACTGACATATGTACCAAGTAAAATAATACGTGCGCGGAGCAGCACGTCCTGTGCGTGTAGATTTCAGAAAATAGGATCCATCCTATTTTTTGACGCTCTACACGAGCGTAGGCGCGTATCCCCGTCAAAATACACAGAGAGCATGTATCTATTGTTGTATTTTGTGCATTTACCATCAGCACATTGTGCTCCCTGGGCAGTTGTGTATCATGTGAAAGAGCCCAGATCCACATAGACTGTTAATTAGTGCTTTGAAATTTACTTTTGAAATCCTTGCGTTTGCCGTGGTCAGCCTGTACAGAAGGTAAATACAAGCAGCTAAACGCGCCCAGTCAAGTTTGATTGACTTCCCATTGAGAGACACAAGAGCCCGTACGTTCCACTAAAGCTGCTGGTGGAGTCGCCTTCACGTTGACACGCGGCTGTGGTTTCGTGAGGTGAAGTGCGAGCAGATCGTCACTCTTCAAATTCCGACGTTTAACTGAACTCCAACAGTGACATACGTCGTTCATCACACATAATTTGAACAAATTCACGTTCAAGTTCTTGATTTACAAAAGTGTTGCGTTCAGTTCAAAGTTCACTGAAAAATGAACGTGTTCAATGAACGCGTTCTTTTGAACTCGTTCATGCACAACACTGGTTCCTGGGGTGGTAGAATGACGTCTTACAGAGGTGTTTGATGTGGGTGTCAAAGGTGAGTTGTGAGTCCATTGACACCCAGGTTGGTGACAGATGCAGAGAAGGGAATCGTTTGACCAGAGAATGAGATACTGGTGATGGTGGAAGAGCGGAGCTGATGAATTGTGCCAACCAAGATGGCTTCTGTTTTGGAACTATTGAGTTGAAGGAAATTTAGCTTCATCCACTCCTCTGTCTCCTCCAGGCAGGTGGTCAGTGTGGATGATAGTAAGGGAGTGGAAGAAGTGGGGGTGGTCCGTAAAAGCTTTATACAAGAAATGTCCCAGGTGTCCCTGTTTTTGACCATTCTGATCCCTGCTAACAGTAAAGAGAGACATACATTGACACTTGTTTAGGTAACAGACACGCATCAAAGCAGTTTGCTTGGCTTCAGAGTCGGCGTCAGAGCACATCTACTGGAGGGGCATGGGTCACCAGCAGGGGGGGCACTGCCATTTGAGAAATATTTTAACGCGGTGGAGTCATACACAGCAGACATGCTATCAAACACGTTCTTTAACAGTATTAGGCTAATTATGTGTTGTTGTTATTATAATCATTATTATATTAAGATTATTATTATTATTATTATTATTAGCTGCAATAGTTGTTGAGGTTGTGTGGTAGACGATACGCACACAAGACAATAATAAAAGGTTGAGGTTTATTAAAAAAACAATAAGTCCTGCCACTGGTTGTAAACATTAAACAACAACCTCTCGTCAAAAACACCTCTGAACTAGAAATAACCACGCATCGGACAGCACCAGGGCTGTAGTGAACGTGGTACGCGAGTCGCCGTCCAGTCCTGTCCTATCCTATAGAGACCTGAAACTTGAGGGACCGGGACTAAACCAGGACTAAACCAGGACTAAATCAGGACTAAACCAGGACTAAACCAGGACCAGTGGCGGCTGATGGTATAATTTTTGGGAAGGGGCACCAAGGGCAAAATTATAAATATATATTATGAATAATATATGTATTATATATATATATATATATAGGCTGTAGTATTATAACAAATACCAGAAACAGACATTTTGGTTAGTACTGGCTGAACAGTATCGATCAGAGCACAATGAACAGCCAAGCACAAACTTTATGCAACAACACAGCGTAACACACCGCTCACACCCAGACCCAACAACGTCAGTAAAACTACAAGAAGAGACATGAACACAGATGCCGCTCCTACAGCACACGACAGAACAACCAGAGCAGCTCCATCGCACCCACCAGCTCATTTACGCACTATTAACTATTAACACTATAACACTATTTAACTATTAACACTATAACACTATTTAACTATTAACACCATAACACTATTTACCTGTGAGGCTCCAAGTTCAGATTTGCCGCAAACTAATGAAAACCAGCCTCTTACCTTCTCCAGAGACTGAAGCAGAATGTTTCCTCTATCCACTGTCCCACTGGTTCTGTTTCCAAAAGTCTATTGTCCAATATGAAGAGATGAAACTGGTCCGTGACGCGAGGTCCGGGAGCCGAGTGCACAAGATGGTTGTAAAATTAGTCTTAATCCCACTTCCCACTTAAAATCTGAAAGTTACGGTCAGTCCATATCAGCACCAGGACACCAGGTAGAATTATGCCTCTGCGCGCTATGCTCAGGTCAAACTTTTACACCCAGAAACGAGCGGGCAAAGGCGGATAGAGCAGCGAGCGACTGCCCTGGCCCCGGCGGGCGGCAGCGAGAGTCCCAG